TTGTAGTCATTTTACTATTACTCCCTTTTTTTCCTTCTCTGTCCTCTCCTCTCACTATCATTATAATGAAAACAATTGTGCTTTTGGATATTTTATTTGTGTAAATATATGATGCTTAAATCATCTATTAAAAAGAGAGGGAGAGAAATCTCTTTCAAAGCTGCTACACAACAGTCACAAGTGTAATTAATTTTTAGGTCTCCGGGTACCCTAAATCATTTTTTCTACATTGTCTCATCTTGTTCCCTCTTATCCATTCTGGAAACAATACTGTAGAATAAATTACTAGGAAGCTGATATTGGCTGAACATAAGGAAAAAAAATCTTTTAACATTACAAGCTATGCAATGGAAAACACTGCGTAGGGAGAGGGCAGGCTTTCCTTTGTTGAGGTGTTTAAACATTTGGCCATCTGCTGAGGATATTATAATAGTGAATTTATGCTCTGAACAAAGGGCTGGCTAAACTATTTCCAAGGTTCTTCCAAGCCTTAATCTACTCCACCTAATAAAATATTTAATACACAGTGATTAGAATAATATAGAATATTGCAGTTTACCTCAAAACTCCTGTGTGGTTCTATTGTCACCATTTACTGCAACTTAATATGCAATAATCACAATCTATGGCATCCTACTTTTATATACACCCACAATTAATACTTTCTGCCATATATTTTAGTCCTTTTATTCAGAAGTAAATCTATACCTTAACTTCCCTGTATATTTTCAACAACACCAGATCACTCAGTTCTATTACATCCTTCCCTTTTTTTCTCAGTTTCAGACAGGCAATGTATCTATTTTTCTTTTCCAGCCCTATGATTACATTTACAACACAAACTACGAAAGAATTTTATCCCAAAGAGAAAAGGATGTGGGGGAAAAAAAAAACCCCTCTTCATGCGAACTCAGTAAGTCACAACCCAACTAACGTCTGAACCTTTACATCAGTGTTTCTCAACCTTGACAATTTTAAGGCATGTGGACTTCAACTCCCAGAATTCCACAGCCAGCATTGCTGGCTGTGGAATTCTGGGAGTTGAAGTCCACATGCCTTAAAATTGTCAAGGTTGAGAAACACTGCTTTACATCCTACACTTTCTACTGAATCTGTTCAAGCAGCTTATTCGCTGTCCTGCATAGAGTTTTGGCAGTATCCCCATAAGGCAAAGGGTCTTTCTAGTCTTCGTGTCCAAAATCAAACAAGAATGATGGAAGATTCGCCAGCTGGGCCACTTTGTGAGAGACCTAGGAACCATCGTTCATCAGTCAAAAACTTCGGGTGTCTGGATGGGCGGAATCAGCCTTTCAGAGGTAACCTGGAACTACAACTCCCAAAATTCTCTAGGGGTGAGGGGAGGGGTTGTAGCCGGCCACCCTCTTCCTTCCTTCCGATTCGTCCGTTCGCGCTTTGACGGCCCCTCCTTCTCACTCATTACCCTAAACTTCTTCCTCCTCCTCCTCGGCTCGCGAGTCGCGCTCGCCTCGTGCCGGGTCACGTGGGCTCTCCGCCCTGAGAAACATCCCCGCCTCCTCCTCCTCCCCTTCCTCCTCTCTGGGTCCGTTCCCTCTTCTACCCTCCCGGCCGCGCTTCCGGCGGTAGGTAACGTCCGTCCCTCTTCCTCCCTCCGCCGCCAGCTGCGCTTCCGGCGGTAGGTAGAAATGTATTTGATTCCTGCTTTTCGGAACTGGGGGGGGGGGCGTTTGCGCCCGCTTCTTTCTCGGCGAGATGGGCGAGGGTGGCGGTTTCTGTCTTTCCTTGCTCGAGCAGGAGACAGGAGGGACGGAGGGAGGGCTGCCCGTTTCTTTCCTCTGCTGACTGCGGCCGGTAATTGGGACAGTGCAGTTAGGGAGACGTTTGCAGAGCTGCGTAGGTCGGCGGCCGGGTAGAGGGGAGAGTTGTTCGAGTGTGAGGAGGCAAAGAAATAAAACAGCCTACTTCGGCTACGGAGAAAGTAAACGAGGATCGACTCACCCCACCCCCTTTGCTGAGAAGCTTCCTGGTTGGGCCTGCTTTTAGCCCGCTTGTAAAGCAGAAAGAGAAGAGAAAAAAAAAAGGGGGGGGAAGACAAACTCCCATCTCCTACAATTTATCGCAGGCAGGTCAACCGCTAGTCGCTAAACCAGCGGCTTTCTAGCCTGACATCTGATCTATCAGGATTAGAGCATGGCCCGCATTTTATCTGACCATCAAAAGTTAGAATCCACAACACACACTTTCCTCCTCCTTTGTAAACTTCAAGGGTCCCTGGATGGCCCGCATCTGAAATTGATTAATAATTTGTTTTGCTAAATCCTCCCACTTTGCTTCTCCCCACCCACCAGAAATAAGTATGGAAGGCTTCTTTATTTCCTCACATCATCAGTCTGTTTTCCCCAGATTTTCTTTAAATAGTTTGAAATCAGTTGCTGGGGAACCGTATTTCTCTTTGCCCTAAACCCAGCCCTAACATCTGTTCCTTGAACTGTTTCCAAACAGAACTAAGGTGAGAAATGCAAAATTGAATAGTTGTAATCCAGTCAGAGCTTGTGTGTTGCTTTTGCCCTCTCCACAATAGCTTCCTTCGTCTTTTACTCCATTGTGCTGCCCCATTGCTTCTCCATATTACAGTTGATATATATGAGCCTGGAGCCTCACTGAGATACATACTGATATCTCAAACTCTGTTTTCTACTTGTTCATATATTGTTGTGTCTTCCGTCCGTCTTCATTTCCAATTGAAGGTATCTGCAAACAGAAAATGGGTAATAATGGCCTTTCCCTTGAGGTAACAATTTTCATAATTCAGACTGGTGTTGGTATCTGAAATATGTGCATATTGAATAAATTTTGGATAGCCACTTGATGGATGCATTATAACAATGATGTATATTTTCTGCTGTATGCTTATTATATATAGAATCACATTCAGACAGCAGGTATATAACATGTCTAAGAAACCCACACTGAAGCTGATGCTAGTTCTAGTTCAAATTACACGAAGAGCCCTAATTGACAACATAAGATGCTAGAATAGTTCTAATTTGCCCTGATTTCTGCATGTATTTTCCCAATTTACCATGACATTATTTCCTTAAATCTTGTGTTAAGAGTTTGCTATTTTATAAGAATTGATAAAAATGTATATACCCAGTGAACATAATAATCCAGTATGAGTGAATCATGTTGCTATGGGTTTAACAGGGAAAGGGTTTATTTTTCATTTTTGTATTTACTCAGCTCTGAATAAAATCAAGGGTGGTAAAAGATTGTGACAAAAAAAGTTCCTTACAATTTCTCATTGTCAATGTTGTAACAAGTAGGCAAATTGTTGTCGAGTATTGTACTTAGCAAATCCAGTTTGAAATGATTAAAAATCTTAATACTTTGCTTCATAATAAATCCCTGCCCTAAACGTTTTGAATCCTGCAGTTGTATTTTGGAAACTTAATGTATTAAATTAATCTATTGTGATTTAGTCAGGAAATTGTGGCTAAACTAATCATTGTTTAGTTTGCATATGAACCCACAAAGTATCATTGTAGAAGTGAAGGAGCTGATATCTGTGCCTATTACACAAATGTAGGATTTGGAATTCAAAACTTGTGATTATTAATTTTGTGTGAATATTTACCATCATTTGAATAATTAATATTGATTGTAAAATTAAATCATAGTTATCTATCGATTGAATGTTGATACCATATGTAATATAATTTTAGTAAGCCTTTGCCTAATGTAGCATTGGATTTCATTTAAATAATAGATTATAATGATGAACATTCAGATTGTTTTAAATTTTAACTTTTTTTAGTGCAGTGATTAAAGTATAAAATTTGGCAATATGAAAATAGTTGAAAGAAGTGAATTTATTATATGATCAAATAATACAATTTGATTTGTTTTATATAGTATATATACTATATACTACTAGATTATGTATTAACCTCAAATCCATAGTTATAGTTCTAGTATATTCATGTCCAATCTCATACTCAGATAATGAGTAAATAAAAATGGCCTTTTGAAGTATTTATTTCATTCAGTAAGGTAAAATATTTCAGTGCCCTCTGAATTGTTAATTTTCATCTAAAAAAAATAAAAAAAATATTTGGGAGATGTTCTTAATTTTTGTTCTTGGTATTTAAAACTTTAGATCTTTTTCATGATCTGGTAAAATCACAAGATTCGTTTTTCTCGCCATGCACATATATACATAATCTGAACTAGACTGTGTTGTTTCTCTGTGTCATATAATATATGTGGGTATATGTATAATTCTGTATTTATTTTTGTCATTTTTATGTAGCGTATATTGGAGGTGGTGACCCTTTGAGAGCTGTATGCAATGAAATTTCATTTTAATGTATGCTGATTAGTGTACATTCAAAGTGACAATAAAGTTATTCTATTCTATTCTGTTCTATTAAAGATATTTGATTGCAACACTTATTGAAATGACTATAAGAAGTTAATAAAATACTGTAATTATTTGATCATTAGTTTCTCTGATTTTTTTAAGCTTAACATTTAAAATAGAATATATTAAAGTATTTCTTAGTCTTTTTAACAATTGCTGATATAGTGTTTAAAGTGTTGGGAGATCTAAGTTCAAGTCTACACTCAATCAGAGAAGCTCACTGACTGACTTTGAGACAGCCTCTACTTCTCAAAGATGCCTTTTCACAGGCAACTGAACTTTCTTGTTTTCCTTTGAAGATGTTGCCTCGTGAAAAAGCATCTTTGGGACAACTGGGACCTGGATGATTGAGAATCTCCATAGACCTCTAGTTCTCAGATTACAGGATTGTTGTGGTAAAATACTGAGTGAAGACAGGATAGAAATCTAAAAAAATAAATAAAGATGAATCAGTTTAGACCGTTTCGGCCATATATATCTTCTTAAAAAAAATGAGAGTTCAACCATGTAAATGAACATGGATAATTTTTGCTAGGCACAATTAGTTAATGAAAAGTATAATGCCATTAAAAATATGTTGTCTTTATTTGTAGATGGTGTTCTAGCACTGAATGCAGAATAATAGTCATCGCTGGCAAATATCAGACTTTTGTAAGTGTGAATCTTTTGGTCTTTTTCAAAAGACACACTGCTTTGGCGCCACATGAGGGATCATGAGCAAAATGACAAGGTATGTGTCTCAATTTTGAAAAAAATATATGAGAAAATTGATGTAAAAAAGTATGCATATTTTGTTCAATTTCTTCATGAATCAAATTTCAAGATTCTTAATTTTGCAAAAGATTTGGTTTATGGAATTTTCTTTTTCCTTCCTCATATGTATTTGAGAAAAACAGAAAAAAACTCATTTTATAGCAATATTTTATTCCAATGACAAGCTCTTAGCTATTGTAGTATCCTTTGAGTGTTTTGTGAGCTAAAAAATATGCCATAAAACCTAAAATTTATTTAAGATGTTTTCACTATCTATAGACAATTTTTAAAGATTATAAAAACAATGTATTTGTTGTAAAATTTATACTGGAAATTAGAAATCTGAGATTATAGAAAGAATATTTTAAAAGGAAATATTTAAAGTTCAGTGGCATTAGAAAAAAAAGTTTGATAATAGGGATTGTTTCATTTAGAGTTCAGGGTATCTACATGCAAATGGTTTATAAAATATGTTTGTATATAAACATATACAAACATATATAAACATATATACACAATGTACTGTCAATGACATAATTTCCAAGAGAGTTTAGAATAATTATTTATACTCCCTTCTTTATAGTCCTATTAAATTTACTTTTCACTTTAGAAAAAATATTTGTCGGAGTAGTCACACTGGTCACGGGTTACAGTAAATTACAACTCAAGTTAGAATGTAACGTGTTTACATGAGTGTTACCCCTTCTAGGATACACAGGACAAACGTTGTTTTTTAAGAGTTCTCACCGATCAGAATTTCGAGTATAATACGAAGTACTTTTCCTTCTCCATTAATATAAATAAAAAAAAAAAATTGTACAATATGAGCATTTGAAGTTAATATGTCTACTTTGACATAGTCTTTAAATTGGTTATTGATATTATTTAAGAAAAAAAGAGAATATATTTTCTAACTTTAATAACCTAATTTTGTTTACTAAATTTTGATATATTCTTAAATAAATTTAATAGTACTTACTTCCAAATAGTATGCATAGCTTTTCTTCCGTCTTACATCAAAGCATTTCAGGATCATAATATTATAAACAGAGATAAAATATCTGATTTTATATCAAATACCTTTCGATTTAACCCTAGCTATGTAACTATGGTATGGTTTTTCCCTTTATATACTATAGTTCAGTTGATTCCAATTTGGAATTAAGATTCAAATTGATGTATTAGGATTTGCGTTTATCTATAACATTGGGTTTGAAAGTATAGTTTTAGCATCAGAATGGTTATTAGGGGAGCAAAACGAAGCAATAGTTTGCAAATTCACAAATAATGGCAAGATCATATTGATGATCTTATTTCATATTGACAATTTGTATTTCCCAAACTACATATCTAAAAGCATATTTTTATGCACATCTAAGCTGCAAAATGTCATGAAATTCAAGTCCGAAATCAGTATATGATGTTTCATTTAGATACAAATTTCATACTTACCTAAATATCTTAAGTTAGTTTGAAAAATACATCTCTGACCAAAGTATAATTGGGTAAATCATGTGATTCATTTGATTTTATAAATATATCAGTGCTGTAAATATTGAAGTTTTGAGAAGATTTTACAAATTTATAACATCTGATAATGAACTCCTGCATTTACTCAGGCCTTAGTTTGATATTGGTGAAGAAGATTTGATAAATCCATTACACATAGTCCTCAAATTACAAGCACAATTGGGACTGGAATTTCAGTCATAAGTTGTTGTGGTCATAACTTGAGGCATGTAATTAAACTCAATTTTATGGCCATTCTTATGATAGCTAAGCAAATAATTGTGGTTGTTAAGCAAACTACATGGTCATAAGAGCAAATCCACTTTATCCAATGGGCATTTTTTTTGCCAGAAAATGGCAAAAAAAATATATTTCAAAATGCAATCACATGACGGTGGGAATGCTGCGGCACTTATAACTTTGAAGACAGGGTGTAAGTAGAGTCCGTCATAACTCTGAATGGTCATTAAGCGATTGGTTGTAAGTTGAGGACTACCTCTAAGTCTGTTGGGTTTTCTAATTTTTTAAAAAATTGATCACTTTCGTAAATGTCATAAAATATACGTACACGTTTCCAGAAAATAATCAAGCTGACATTACCTTGACAGAATCTCATCTGTTCAGAATGCGGAGACGAGTTTACTTTGCAGAGCCAGTTGGCCCTTCATATGGAAGAACATCGGCAAGAGCTGTCTGGAAGCAAAACCCACACCTGCAAAACCTGTAAGAAAGAGGTTGAAACTGCTTCCCAACTAAAGGAACATATGAAAACTCACTACAAAATAAGGTGAAAATCGTCGATTCTTTACATATGTTCACAAGTAGGTTAAATGATAATAAAGTGATCTGGTTGACTTACCATACTGTGTCATTCTCAGAAACATGGTTGGATGATTTTTAATAATCCTAGAAAAGCCCCAGATTTCATATCTTGTGATTTTCAACATCCTGGGGTCGGGGAAACAGATTTCATACCTGAAATTTACATTGGAGAGTTCNGATTCTTTACATATGTTCACAAGTAGGTTAAATGATAATAAAGTGATCTGGTTGACTTACCATACTGTGTCATTCTCAGAAACATGGTTGGATGATTTTTAATAATCCTAGAAAAGCCCCAGATTTCATATCTTGTGATTTTCAACATCCTGGGGTCGGGGAAACAGATTTCATACCTGAAATTTACATTGGAGAGTTCATACACAATAATAGAGTCTTTATTAATAAATGGAGTTTATTTGATTTTATGTATACCTTAAATATCAGTGGAATTCAGGAGAAAATTGTACTTCAAATATTGGTTGACGGCTTATGACTAGCAAGACTAACTCAGAAGAAAAAAAGCTAGATCCATGTAAAAGTACTGTTTTTAATTAGAGTGGCTTTTAGGGCTTGAAGCAGCATAAAACCCATCTCAATATACACAGTAATTTCACAATGAAATTGTATGGATTAACCTGATGCTGCTGGTAATGTAGCAGATGTCTGTGGAAGGCTATCCATGTATGTCCTTTTTGTAAATGGAGGAATCAGAGGAATTCAGTGTGTGTGTACTTACAAAAGTGTATCCTCATGGCAGGTTGTGGAGACTTTCTGCCATGCTCATTCTCATCTATTTTTAAAATAAAACATCAGTACAAGTGAAAGGGACCTGTTTTAAAGCTTTTTGGCTACCTGCTCTATCTTGTTTCCTCTTGCTTAAGTTATCAATGCAGTCTAAACCAAGCTACTTTTCAGTCAGACTTTGGCAATGTTTTTTCAGATAAGGTCTCCAAGTCTATCTCCCAGTCAAATGGATGTAGTATTACAGAGGGGCTGGGATTTAATATTTTTCAGTTCCTGCCACCTTTTTGTGTAATTTGAGGAGGGGGCTGATGACTTTTAAGTGGGGAGATGGGAATGCTCCACTCTCCAAAGGTTTGTACTCCTGTGTTATCCTTATTTTTTTTCTTTTTAAACCAATATTTAAGCTGGTGAAGTTCAGTATTTTGCTGTAAAATTTCAGAGGGATCGTCTCAGGCTTGTTGGCTGGTAATTGCCCATCCTTGATTTCAATGTTTCATTTTACAAGATACACAAATATTATGTACAAACAAAATAACCCAGTTGGCACAACCAGCCAGCCATAGCCTACCTCTTTACCCGCATTTATATGTGATCTGCTCATATGATTAAGTGATTTACCTCCCCTTTGATGTCAGCATGCATAGTGTCACCGTCACCGATCCTTTGTCACCAATGTTTGCTCATAATCTCTAGCACCGTTTCCATTCTAGAAGCAATTGTTGCCAGCATCGTGTATCATCTTATATCCTATAATGGCAGGAAGCAGAATTGAGAGCTTGCTATCCCCAGATTTCTGAGGATATATATTGTTCTGCTTATAATCAGGAGCAGAAAATGGAGGATATGTAAAGAATGCAGCAATTTATTTTAGGTAAAGAATGCAGCAATTTATCCTTAGTTATGGAAAAGTTTTTACTGATGTCCTCAATCAGTAAAAATGTTTCCATAACAAAGGATAAAGAATTTGGAAGTCAAATAAACTCCTAGCATTTATTAGAGTGAGGAGCTGACAGTTTAAAATATGAATTTATGAAACAGAGAAAGTTTCCTGTAAAGGTCAATTGCAATTTAGATACCTTACTTACACTCTTAGGCCCGGTTTATGCATTCGCCAGGACAGCACGTCCATTCGTGAGGTAGAGGAGCAGCGCAAACTCTTTTCCTACAGCAGGCAAATACTGGTATGTGGACAAACTGTCCATGTGGAGCCCAAATGCTCAGTGGTTTATTATGTGTGGTCTCCTCCACCTACATTTCCCCTCTTCTCTGTGTGTGAAAAATTGGCTGAGAATCAGTGCCACCTTTTCATGTAGCAAATTCCCTACTCTTTATCTCAGATGCTGTAGATAGCATTTCTTCTTTCTATGAAGCACTGACAGTGTCTCAATCCAGTCCCACTGCATGTATTTCAACAAGGACGGCAGCTTGATTTGAAAACATATTAATGTATTAATCATGTTAATTTTAATTGATTAATCAACTAATTTATTGGATAATTATGCATTTTTTTTTGCTAATGCCCATGTGTCAAATGCATAATCTTAGTAAAGGTGCTCCATGTAAGAATTCCTATTTTAATATGGTGTTTGTTATCTGCACTTTCTTTTAATTAAATTAGAACATCTTTTTGATCAAATACAAATGTAATTGCAGTCCTAAATAGTCCAAGCTTTCTGGACATTGGTAGGGAAAAAAAAAGAATTAGAATTAAGATGATCACTGTTTTGGCACTAATTTGTTGCTCTTTGTTATCAGTGTCATGTATAATGCTTATTAGAATAAAATATTTGGTGCATAATCGTGATTATATAATATTACTAGCAAGGCACCTATTTTACTGTATATCTGAACAATTGTAATTTTGTATATTATTAATAGTGGAAACAATAAGAAAAGTAGTTTACTTTAAGATCTGTTGATGATTATATGGTTAAAATAATGTTGATGTTTCATTGTTTTTAATGTTCATAGGGTATCAAATACCAGGTCATATAATAGAAATATTGACCGAAGTGGGTTTACATATTCATGTCCACATTGTGGAAAGACTTTCCAGAAACCAAGTCAGTTAACACGACATGTTCGAATACACACAGGTAAGGTGAACAAATGCATCAAACATATATTTAAATTTGTTGGTAGCCCTATGAAATCCTTTTTTTCCCCTTTGTGTGTATGTTTAGGGTAATTTGATTTTTTTTTAAAATCATGTAATGCCTTGCTAATTCTTTATAAAAAAGCATAAAAATGATCTGGCACAAATTTCCACATCTTACCACTGAGTTATCCTTAGAACAGATGAGGATTATATGAGTGTGCTACATTGACAGTGCATGCCAATATTCATTTCCCCCTTCACTGAATGTAAACCTCTGAAGTGATAAGCCTCATCTGTTTATGGAAATCTTCTGTGGTCAAGATTATCCTATATGGAGAGTTCACGTGAATATTAAAGAGACCTCCCACTACAGATGCTCATTTTCATTATTGAGAGAATGGGGCAATGGGAATTTTGTCAACAACAGTCTTTGGTTTTGTCTGCTTCAGGCAAGAAATCTTGTGCAAGAAATCAGCACTTCAGTTTTCAAAATTGTAAATATATTGTATACTGTGACAAGTATAACATACATTTGAACCAAATGCAGTAATGGTTAGGGTTTGTGGCGAATTTACTTTTTGAATTTATCAGTAAAGATATTCTAAATAGTTTTCATTCCTACAAATCTTTGACAATCATTTCTCCCCCCCTTTCCCCCCCATATTTTAAATGAAATTTGGTAATAGTACAGTAAGGCTTTTTAGATGAATATTAATTAAAGGGTAAGAAAAAAAAATGAAAAATCTTAGTCATTACAAAAAATCCATCCCTTGGGGAAAAAAATATCAGAAAATAATTTAATTAGCTTCTCAGCAAATTCTAGATTGCTGAATTTTTTCATATATGTCCTAAACAGTTCTGTGCAAATCATATCTATCTGTTTGCATAGGGGTTGCATTCAAAGGATTTCGAGGTATAAAACTCCATGCACCAGAGGGATGCATGGGTGCCTGATATGTGTCTCCAACCCATATGTTCCCATCAAAGAAAAAAGTGTCAGGAAAATTTAAAGTTAATTTGTTGGCATAAATCTGGACAATTTTGTATCTATCAATAGCCACTATTAGGGCATAGGACAGGGGTGTCAAACTCAATTTCATTGAGGGCCGCATCAGCATTGGGGTTGCCCTCGGGGGGCCGGGTGGGTGTGGCCAGGGTGGGTGCGGCCTACTGGGTGGGTGTGGATGGAGTGGGTGTGACTTACTGGGTGGGCATGGCAGCTCTACATCGTTTGCGTCAAGGATGCCTGTGGGGGCCTGGGTAGGAGTGGGACAGATCTGAGGGTCTCTGGCAGAAGGGGGTGGGATTGGGGCAAGTGCAAAGGCAAGGTGCATTTCTTCATTCCTCACAAAAGGTGACACCTCCCTGGCATGCACCCAGGGGCCGGGGCCAACGCGGCAGGGGCTGGTTCCTCGCTGTTTGTAGACGGCCTTGTGGAGCTAAGACTGAATGCGTTTCAGGGTAGATGGCCACCACAAAATTGTACATTGGCTCCCGGCCGGCCTGGACCAGGGCCAAGGCAGTGGGAGCTGTTCCCTCACTGTTTCCAGGATGGCTTTGCGGGCCACATGAAACCACTTTGCCGGCCGCATCCGGCCCCCGGGCCTTGTGTTTGACATGTCTGGCATAGGATAAATGTGTTGAGTTTGTAGCTCAAATAATTGTATATTCTATGCAGACTTTTTAGAATTTTCTTTTTTCTATTTCCCTAATGCTGCTTTATTGATGAGAAAGTATTTCTTTGTTTGATGTGTGTATTTTTAGGTGAAAGGCCATTTAAGTGTAGTGAATGTGGAAAAGCTTTTAATCAGAAAGGTGCATTGCAAACCCATATGATCAAACACACTGGTGAAAAACCGCATCCTTGTGCCTTTTGCCCTGCAGCCTTTTCTCAGAAAGGCAACCTTCAATCACACGTTCAAAGAGTACATTCAGAGGTAAGTCTGATTTTCTTTTTTTTTAATTTTGTTACTAACATTCTGGGTTTCCAGAATTTTTCAAGCAACCACAATATGGTTTGCTACTCATTTGAATTTTGTACTACGTTCTTTCATTTTCTGTACATAAGAAAGGTTGTTTCTGGGGAAAACAAACAAATATGCCATAATTAAATTAAGGTGAAAATAGGAAGAAATGTTCTTTGTTACAATAAAACTTTCCTTATTTGGGGTCGATGGCTGTCCATTAAATCCAAAAGCCCAATGTTCTTGTTTGTACAATCTTTGTATCATTACATAACTGATGTTTTATAAATTTTGTGTCAATTTCTATAATTTGTATTATGCAGTATGTACTTGGACATTATTTTAGAAATGAAATCTGAACACGTTTAATCTGTTACATCCAAATTCCGCTTAATGAGGGTCCGTCAAGTCAAGGTTTCACTGTAAAAGAGTCCTTGTTTAGTGACTGCCTTGTTCTGTGACCATTTGCAGTTACAATAGGGATAAAGAAGTAACTTTGCAACCAGTGCTCACATTTATGACCTTCTTAAGTCTATCTGATCTGAAAGCTGAAGTAAGATCATAAGCGCAGTTATGGTTTCATTTAGCGACTGCTTTGCTTATTTTTTTATTTTTTTTAAAACAAGTTTTATTAGTTTTTCAGTTTTACATCCAAGTGTTTAGGAAGCAGCGTGGTGATTGGGCAATCAATAGTCCAATAACAAGCTCTTTTATACATGTCTCAGATTACAACATCAAAGATTCCCTCTCTATTTCCCTTAATTATTATATCACATTCAAATTAATACATTTCTAATTATAGCTCGATCAATTAAAACACTTATCAATATATTTTAACTTATACATATCCGTGTCCTGTTTTTAATTTTTACCCAGTTTCAATAACAGTATTCCAATTTAGCCTTTAGTATCCATAATATTCAGATTTCGGGTAACCCAAATTTCCCTTATTTCATTACAAAATAGTTGTCATATCTAAAATACACATATTGTTTGCTTAAATACATTCTTACTTTATTGCAGAAATATATTCTATTTCTCATCCTAGTATCTTATCACTTACTAATAAAATATCCTTTATTGTCTCAATCCAACTTCCATATTATAATTCAAAACTATATTCTAATAGCTAATTTTCATTTCCCTTATAGATCTAAGTTTTAAATATTAAATCAATTAATATCTTTTAGAATCTCCTTAGCCCATTAAGTAACATTTTAGGCTCTTCTGTTATAAGTCAAAAAAAAAATCCCATTTTTTTTTAAGTCTAACTCTAGTTTTCTTTTTTTGCCAAACTGGCTTCCATACCAGTGCCTCTAAATCCTCAAGTGGCTCTCCCATCATTCCTACACTTGTTATTTGAATCAAGGGAGACCATCCAGTTATCAATTTTTCAAAGGAACTGGCCCCTTTATAATCATTGAATTGTTGCCCTAATAGTTCAAATCTCCATGTTTGGTTTAGGATATTTGTTGTCAGTTCAGTCTGGTCAGTCTGGTCTTATTCTTCTTCTGGTTTCATTTGGCTTAAGTAAAAAGTTATGTCCAATGTTGTAATTGTTGTTGGATTGTCTAGGTTATCTAGGTTCTCGATATATTGTACTTGTTCCATCTTAATGTTGCTTTCTTCGGTTTCTGTTGCTTTTTGAATTGCAGATTCTTTACTTGAAATCAGGGTTTGACTGTCAAAGTTCTCAATAGATTGTTCTTGTTGTTCTTCAAAGTCCTCTTTGATATTAATTTGATCCTCTTCTGTTGCTTTTTGGGTTGTAAGTTCATCTGCTGAAATCTGGTCTTCATTTTGTAAATTTAAGGTGGCACCTTTGTCTTTCAGTCTGGAATTCATTAGCTCAGTAGCTTCAAGGACTGTTTCTAGTATAAGTTTATAATTAAGTTGTGGGTAGTATTCCTCCATTTCTATGGTGTTTACAGATAGTCCTTTAGTGGAGATTATTTTCAATAAGAATCAGTGAATGTCCACTTGCACTATTCCTAGAAGTTGTTTTCACCACCCAGCTGTTTCAAATTCTTATCTTTTTTAGATAGTACCAAGGACAAATCTAGGCAATAAGCAGTTCTCACAGTCAAAAAAAAGTTCACTTGCTATTCCAGGCTTCGCCACAAGATGTCCTTGCTAACATGTAAAATCTTTTTCCAAACTCACGTTAGGCTTTTATCTGGTTTAAAAAAATTTTTTTCAAGTTAACAAGTGAATAAAGTGATAGATCCCCGTAGAAATGAGAACTTTTTGGGACCCCAAATATCCAAAAGGTGCAAGTACAGTTATTTAGTTTAGTTTAGTTCTTTTCTTATCTTTTTGAAGCTTTATTTTCCCAAAGTATGCAGACGCCGTGATGTTAAAAGGGGGGGGGAAAGAAGTTTCAAGAGGCTTTTACAGGAAGGTAGTTGGGATAGAAGAAAGGTAAGGTAGGGTCTCACCCAATTCCTGTGCAGTGCTTTCATTGTGCTTGGTGATGATTTTGGCTTTCGGCTGGTACGGCTTGGTGATCGTCCACATGGATGGCCGATCTTTTCTCCGTCGGTCCAAAGGAGCTGCCTCAGATCAAATGGAAGAGCTGCCACCCTTCCGTGATCTGTCGAGAGTCCTCCTCACAGTAGTCGCCCCTCCAGGGAGACTTTCAACCCTTTTCAGGGTCTCCCAGATGGCGGGAAGAAAACAACGGCGGAGAGAGCGGTCCCCCCGCGTGTCCACCGACGCTGCGATCGCAAACCGGAAGTCTTGACTGCTTCGCTTATTGACCAAGCTGCAGGTCCCAATTGTAGTCGCTAAATGAGGGCTAGCTGTACATTATTATGGAATTTCCCTATATTTTTCTTGTTTGTTGTTGCAATGTATCTTCCTTGGATACTTCTACATATAGTCAGGTAAATGAAGAGTTTACTTGATGGAAAGCCTACTGCATCCTTTTCTATTTATGCTTTTATGTAGCATGTATCTCAAAGAACTTGCAATATGATGCATGGGAAATTTTTGGACCCTGAATGATAAAACTTTTTCTGCTGGATGCTGACTGCTATATCTCAGATAAATGTGAAGTAGATACTGCAACACTGAAGCTAGCCTTCTGTTCCATGCAGTATGCTTTTTCAAACCCCTCTGTTTTTGATACTCCTAGAGATGTTTAAGAATAAAAGAGATGTTTTATTACATAGGATTGATTTTATTTAAATTATTTTCAGAATAAAACCAATTACAATAAAATAGTGTATATTAAGTACCCATGTAATAATGTATGTAATAATTTTTTTGTATATAAAAATATGTGTGGTAACATATATTCTTTTGTTTCTCAGGTAAAGAATGGCCCTATGTATAATTGTACAGAGTGTAGTTGTATTTTCAAAAGTTTAGGCAGCTTAAATACTCATATCAGCAAGATGCATATGAGCTCCACACAAAACACAACGAACTCTACTACAGAAACAGCTCATATTACAACGGTAACATTTATATTCTAATATCTTTGCCCACTTGCATTATATTGTGTGCTTGTGCATGTGTGAAATGTATGCATTATATGTGTTGTTGGAACAAAATTCACCAAAAAATGAAACCTATGAGTTTCTTATCTTTCAAAGAAATGAATTGTTTTGCAAGAACACAGGGCTGTTGAACAGTTTACTTTTACTAATATAGTCTGTAATTTTGCCTTGTAAAACAGAGTTTTTGTCCAGCTAGAGAAATCATTCACTTTTTTGGTACTACTCATAAATGTTTTTACAAAGCAGAGTTTTTAAAGCATCTAGAGCATTTTCTCTTACTTAAAACCATCATGACCCAGTAAATGTTTGCAGAACATATAAAATGCAGTCTAGCAGTCTGATAATTTTTTCATGTGTCACTAGCAATTTTGATCAGGACATAGAAAAAAGCAAACAGAAATGTTCTTAGTATTTTTTGACCAGAAGTAGAGACACTTGAAAAAAAATCATTTTAGTTTTCAGAAAAATGGCATTTATTAGTCATGTCTTAACGAAGAGTATGTTAATGATTTTTCATCCTTTAACGAATAAATGTTCAGTAATTTCAGTCCATAAATTCTCTAGAATTATATATTTTGTATCAGGATTTTAACAGGATTAGCCTAACATAGTCCTAAATGGAACTAGTTCTGCAGTTTATTACTTTACCATGTTTTGTTTTGAAGAGTAGATTTATATATATTTTTTTCTTAAAATAGAATTCGGTGGCTCAGCCATTGACATTAGCAACTGTTAATTTACTGCAGCCTGTTGACAATAAATGGAAAAATGTAAGTATTCCGCTTCTAACCTTAATGAGGTGTTATTACTGTTGTAAAATCTCATACGGGATTCATTGCAGAAATTTTTATATATTTCATGTATTCCACACAATTGTCTCAGGGAAATACAGTTATCCTTGAGAGATTTTAAAGAACTTTATGATATTATTTGTGAATTTGCTGTTACCAAATAAGGATAATCTTGTGCCGCTTGCAGGAATGCGGAGCGATCTACTAATCTTCATAACCAGAGTATATATTGAGCATTCTTGCATTGCAATTTGTCAGCAAAGAGGAGATTAGCATGGCTATTCCTGGCATTGCTGGGTCCCTATTTTAAAAAAGAGTCAAATGCAATCCAGTAGAAGACAAACACTGCCAAAATCGTGTTCAAAAAAAATCTGTGGACTTCAGATATAATAGCCCATATGAATACCAAAAATTCCAGAAAGGCCAGAAACGGATTATCTAACAGACACCATTGGAATCTGCAAGGAATAAAATGATCCTGAAAAATAACCTAAAATTAGACATGAAATCAATAGTATTTGTGGCTTGCAAGATGATTAAATGTATTATATACTGTATAGCTGAGATTTTTTTTTTTAACTCTTTGCTTTTCTGCTTTTACTTTTTTACAAAGTGCCCTATAAGGTTAAAACAGTTAAAATGTGAAGCTGAATAAATTACACGGTAGCTGTTAAAGTAACGCATTAGGGAACTTCTAATCAGCCCATTTAGAATATATATTTTAAAGCAATAGGTAGGAAGGTTCTTGCAAATAATTAGCTGTTGTGGAATATTAACAAATCAGTAACAATGCACTCAGAGGCACTTCAGCAAAAGAGCACTTAGAGCAGCATTCTGTAGGACCTGGAGTTCCTGAACTGTGTACAAAACCAGAAAGTATTCCGGTTACAGGAAATCTTAAAAATTATGAACCTACTATTCCAAGGGAAGTAAATTTGTTCACTTATTAATCAATTTATGTGCTTACAATTCCATTCCAGCTCATGGCATTTAACAATTAGGTATTTTTATTACAGTACCAGAACAATAAGAACTAGTTGTTCTATTGGCAGAGAATTATGCTTCTGGTTGCTTGCTATTTATATATGTTACTGGTTTTTTTTAATACCGCTCAGCTCAAAAGATTCAATGGCTTATACTCCTCATTACACTAAGTAGTATGTATAGTAAGAGTTTAAAATAATACAAACAGCAAAAGTCAAGAAAACAATAATATCACTTTTTTAAAATTTAGGTTATACATGCCGGCCATCACTGATTTGATACTGATTTATAAGCCTTACCGTTTTAGACATGGACAAGAATTTTTATTGCTAATAATTGTTCAGCTTTAACAGTATCCCCACAAATATTTGTAATAGAATGAGCCTAAAGTTACAGGGCACTAGAATTGTTGCATTTCATAAAATATATTCTCACAGCAGAGCACGCATTAAGCCTTCTACCATCTTTTCAAAGTTATTAGATTATATGGTTTATAAAACAGTACATGTGCCTTTCTTGATTTTGTTATGCAATAAAGCTCCTCCAGCTGAACTAGATTTTTTTTTGGTAATTAATTCAGGCCTATATGCTTTTTTTTTTTTTTTTTGATAATAAGTCTCCGTGAAAAATGACATGTTTGTGAAACATGTTTGAATTTAACATTGCCGAAGCAGTGCCTCGGTAAGGTAAAATTATTTTTTTGTCCAGCTTTGAAATATTGCTCCTTGCTGTTGGGTTATTAAACAGTGTGGTTCAATTTCATTTAAAAATAGCAGTTTAATTCCAAATGTCCTATGTGTTCTATAATACCTAAAATGTGTTTGCAAATCACATTTGTATACTCACAAATGACTTATCCACAGGCAGAAAATCCAATAACTCCATCTGCAGGACATCAAGGTCAGCAATCAGTAACTGATGTCATTCAACAACTCCTTGAATTGTCAGAGCCAGTGGAAAATAATCAGTCCCAGCCATCTAGTCAGCAACTCAGTATGGCTGTGGGAATCAACAGAGATATTTTGCAGGTAGGATAATGCTCACCTTTTCTTCTAACATATTGCAGTCTCCTTACTCGGAGCAAAGGAATAATCAAAGCATCTCAGACTAATTTCTCTCTTGTGTGGATTCAGGGAATGCTTTATGGAGATTCTCAATCATCCAGGTCATGGTTGTCCCAAAGGTGTTTTTTCCAAAAGGCAACTGGACTTTCTTAGTGTTTTTTTTTCCAGTTCTGAAGAAGCTTCTTGGATGAGAAGTGAATTGTTTTCAAGGGAAAAAAACCAAGAAAATTGAGTTGCTCTTTGGAAAAGCACCTTTGGGATTTTGGCAAAGGTGCTTGAAAGTCAGACTGCTCCTGGTGGCTGAAAACAGGACTATGTGCTGATTGTGATTGTTTTAGGAAAGAAAAGTGCTGAATGCCCACAAGGGCATTACTCTCACCCAAATACAATCCCCTGTACCTCTCTTTCCAGTGAGAGAGCTATATGTAGGGGATATCTGCTTACTACTTGAGTGCTGTCTTCTTACAGGAATGCCATTGGCAGCTATTGGTACTTCTTCCCACTGGGTTCAAGGTTTTCAAAATACCTGTGAAGCTCCAGTTTTCAGTGTTAATAGGACTGTAAAACATTGAAAAGAAATAAATGTATCTTAGAAAGGATGATATTATGTGGCAAAATGCTGTTTAAAATGGGCAACGGAAGATGAATGAGTTGGTCATTATACTAAGCTGTTGAAGAAGGAAACCTTTCAGCAAATTTCTAGTTGTTTCTGGGGTGAAAGTGTTAGGAGTTATGCTTTCCCTTTTTTTGCCAATTGGGTTGTTACTTTTGGAACCTCAATAGAGCTTTACACTTTTACTGTGCTTTTCTTACCTGGGGAATAGGGAAAACAGAAAGCTGTGAAGTGTTCAAATTGAGCTAGCTAGATCCTTAATGAAACAAATCAGACATCTCTGAAAAAAAGAACAGTTTAAAATAGTCTTGTCTGTTTGAAAGTTACACATGGATCTTGCTCTCAGTTTAATTCATTATGTTTGTCTTAGCAAGCCTTGGAAAATAGTGGGCTATCCTCAATACCAGTTTCAGCAAACACCGACTGCAGTGAAACGAAGACTCCTCCAAGCCCAGAAGAAACTGCAGATGCTCAGAATCTCTCCAGCCATCAAGTCAACTCCAACAATACGGAACAAGTTAAAGAGCGAGACAACCCAGAGAAAGTAGATAAAAAAGAGAAAAGGGTTCTGAAGAAAAAATCCCCATTTTTACCTGGTAATGGCAAAAGGTTAATTCTGTCCACTACAGTATACCTAAGGATTATTGACTAGTATATATGTTACCGGCAATATGTGAAAAGCTGGCATTGTATAGAATGCCTAGGAAATCTGTAGAATACATGGCATTTTTAGGCAAAATATGGAATGGCTGTGTATTTTAATATATGTATAATACCTAGGCATTATGCAGAATGACAACTATTTAAGCAAAGTATGAAAAGAGAATCATAAAAAGGGTTAGAGTCAGGGTTGGGTTAGGGTTATTGACCTACTTGTTGCAACAAGGAAAGTTAGAGTGGCATTTAAGCAGGAGTACTTTATACTTTGTTGGTTTGCCCTTTGGAATTGCTTAGAACAATGCATAGGAAATGTGTGAAATGTTAAGCATTTCATACTTTGACATCCCATTTGTTGGCATTCTGTAAATTTCCTAGTATTCTATAAAATGCCACATTTCACACACTGACGGTAACATACACTGTATAAGCATTACTTAGAAATATATATTTTAACATTATCACTGCTGATTGCCTTTCTGTACAGTAGTACAATCTGAACATAACCTTTCTGTTCACCGTTTGATAGGTTTCTAAAGTAAAAAAGTCTCTACAGTGCATTGTATAACTATTATCTGTTTAGAGCTAGCATATCTAGTAAATTGTAGCATCCAGGCATAATGTACTGTAAAGTTCCATTCCTAGTCAATCTGATCTCTAATCAGGTGGGAAAATATGAAAAAAATAAGGAGAACACCCCCCCCCCCAAGTTCTATACATGCTAAGAGAAAGGGCAGATGTACTAGATACAAAAGTGAGCCCTTAAAATCTGCATAATCATTTGGAGAATGTTGTCTAAGGGAGTTTTTCCAGAAAGTGTTGTGAAAATCTAGAGAGATCTGGAAAAATATAGTCCAGGAAAAAAAATCAGACATACCTTTACAGAAACTGCTTTTTTGCTTTCAGATTTCGAGTCATACTCAACTTACAGAACCTTTTACTTTTATTAATTCATAGGGTAGCTATAATAGTCTGTTTCACTGAAACATTATTCCTCTAATAGTGAGCAATTCAGTCTCCCAATTGATGACATTTGCCAAAATGTAACCTTAAGTGTATTTCAAATTCCAGTCTTTTTTTCTTTCACAATTAGCATGTCAACCTTTTCAAATTGTTTACTCTAAAATTATATTTCAGGGTCCATACGTGAGGAGAACGGAATACGATGGCATATTTGCCCATACTGCTCTAAGGAATTTAAAAAACCCAGTGATCTCGTACGGCATATACGCATTCACACTCATGAAAAGCCATTCAAATGTCCACAGTGTTTCCGGGCCTTTGCTGTGAAGAGTACTCTCACAGCACACATAAAAACGCACACGGGCATTAAGGCTTTTAAGTGTCAGTACTGTATGAAGTGCTTTTCTACCTCAGGAAGTTTGAAAGTACATATTCGCTTGCATACAGGTAAAATCTTGCAACTGGACCTCTAATGTTTTGAAGCCCTGCTTATGTTTAACCTTAGCAAAAAATAAAAATGAAAATTTTCTGTACTATAACTCTATTTGCTTCTCAGTTGTATTCTGATTAAACATAGCAAAGCAGGACCAACAATATCAGGTTTTCATTGTAAAATATATCTGTTGCTTATGTATGTTAAATTTAACATATGTCAACCCAGAAAGAAAGGACAAATAGAACTATAAATTGTGTACTATTGAGTTTCTCTGGGCTCATATTACAGTGTTTGTGTAATGTTTGTGGAGATTTTGGATCTAATTTGGCTACTGTGGAGCCTTAAGCAAGGCCTTATTCAGAGTGTTTATGGAGATTCTCAATCATCCAGGATATGGTTGTCCCAAAGGTGTTTTTCCAAAAGATAACTGGACTTTTTTGGAAGAAAGTCTGGTTGCCTTTTGGAAAAAGCACCTTATCCTTATCTTATACAGGCAGGCATCTTAGTTAAGGTGCTGAGCAAACTCTACTTTTATTCTGGGGAAGGCTTGGGTCATCCAGGATTTTTGGAGTATCTTCTGTGCTCAGAAGGAAGCACATCTTCCGCTTACATATACAGCCATAATTTGTTTACTCTGCACGTTGCACACTGGGGCAAAGAGTGGGCTAGGTGAAGCTGGTATGTACTTTATTGTGTGGAAAACCTTTGTTCTCTCTCATGACCCTACAAGGCCATCTATGTCCATGCTGGGGAAAGCAGGCTTTGTCTTGGTAGTTTTATAAGTTTAATTTTAAATAGAAATGTTTTAAGGCAAAGCTTTTGAACGAACTAAGCGTATTTGATTGTTTACCATATCATCTTTTTATCTATTTCTTTTTAGAAGTTGGGAATAAAGATGTAATCTCTGTGTCTTTTGTAGGTATTAGACCGTTTGCTTGCCCACACTGTGACAAAAAGTTTCGAACTTCAGGTCACAGAAAGACGCACATTGCTTCTCACTTTAAACATACTGAACTGAGAAAAATGCGGCATCAGCGGAAACCTGCAAAAATTCGAATAGGCAAGAGCAACGTGCCAGTACCTGATATTCCTTTGCAAGAACCGATCCTCATCACAGATTTAGGTAAATCTGTTTAGCGTAATTAGTGTTTAGCGTAATTTTGCTGGAAAGAAATTTCATTATCTACGTAGAAGAGAGTAGAAATGAAAGGAATGTGTCTACTTGATCAAGCTAGATTCAGATAGTTTGAGAAAATATTCTTGCATGGTATAATACTTTAGCTATTATTATGCAAGAAACTTAATTTGAAAAGCAATTTCACTCTAGTGTGTCAGGCTTACTTAGCCAAGATAGAAATAAAGTGCAGATAAAATACAGTACCTATTCTGATATAGTGTATTAATATTTAAGAAGGCTTTGCAAAGCATTTGAAAATAATCTGTATGGAGGAAACTTTCTAAGTCACAATTAGCACAGCTTCTTTAACTCTTTTGAAAATAAGTGCACTTATTTTAAACAGTTTGGACAGATGGAATCTTCAGGGTTTCATTGAGGGTATAAATTCAGTATGTTGTGCCGTGGATAAGCTAAGCGTGTTCATGTTTCAAGAGATTTACAAATACACAATTTTATTAAAGGGCGGACTACCTATTTTTCAAAATTTAATGGAGGAAGATATAAGAAAATAATTATTCACATTTGCAAATATCTCCTGACATTTAAACAGCCCAGTAAGTTTTAATGATTAGGCTACCTTAGTCTTGGAGAAATCAATTGGTATTTTCTGTTGGAAACACACATTCTTTTTTAAAAGAGTTCTTAAAATTGATTCATAGGAATATTTCTTATGGTACAATTTATAAATATTGTATTCACATAAATTAAAGGCTAGTGCTATGCTGCACCTTTGAAGACAAAATGGTGTCTTCAAGAGTCGGTGGGTTTACAAATGTAAAACCAGCGTACAATTTCTTAAAGGTGTCTTTTCCCAGGCCTGCATGGAAGATGCAGAGGGCAGCCATGTGCTGTTAGAAAAGGCATGGCTGCTTTAAGAAGCTGCTGCATTCATGTGTTTGCAAGGTCCATTATGTCTCTGAATCTGACACATTGAATAATGTTACTGCTAAAATATTTAATTTTGAAAATGGATCATTGGCCTAGTACAATGTACTGCCCTCCTGAGAATTTTATATACATTAAGGAAAAAAATAATTATGAAAAATGCATAATTTTCATTTCTGTTTAAGAACCAGAATATGCTAAGCACTGGAGGGATTTTTTTTTTTTGGCTTTGAAATAGCATTAACCTGCCATTCTTTCTGCAGGTCTTATTCAGCCAATCCCAAGGAATAGCCAATTTTTCCAAAATTATTTCAATAATAATTTTGTGAATGAAGCAGATCGGCCATACAAATGCTATTACTGTCACAGAGCTTATAAGAAGTCTTGTCATCTTAAACAACATATCCGGTAAATTCTACTTAAAAAATAGAACACTTAAAATTATTATTAAAATGTAAGATAACAAATGGTTCTTTTCTTATTTTTCAAGCTTCCTATTGCAAATCTTATTTTGGTAATTTCAAGAAATACTCAACATTTAAGACAGCACAATTATACTTGTTTAACCGAGGGACCAACTGGTTAGAGAAAATAAAATTAGTATATGTACACACACACACACACACACACACACACACAACATGAAGACTTATAGAAAAGAAATTTATGTTTTGGAATGGATTTTATAGTTCCCAGACTTGAATGTTGTTAGACCTCTGTGAAAAAGTCTAAAACAGGCAGTGCATGAAAGAAACCTAGGCATATTTCTAAACTAGAGGAGTTTAAGAATGGAAAATATTTTAAAACAGAAAGCCTCTTATCTTGCTATAGAAAATGTGTTATCTCTGCCAAAGGTGATATTACAAATTCTGTTGCACCCGTGAAATTGATTGCATTGAAAGACAGGTCGGTGCAAAGAAGGGGAGTTCTCAATTAATTGAGCTTCAGAGACATACAAAAAAAATAGTAAAGGGAAAAGGTAAACAATGGGTGTGGACTTGAAATTTCCCTGGTGATTGCTGAACATAATTAGTGATAAGTCCTGATTTAGGGTTAAGAGGAGAAGAAAATAAGAGGAAAGGGAGTGGAGTAGGAATTTGAACAGGAGATGGTTGCAGGTGCCATTTCTGATACCCTATTTGTCTCCCCTTTTCTCTTTTAATTACTATTTATTTAGTATTTATTTCCCTATCTGTTCCTCTGACTTTTTTCTTTGATTTGTTTCAAAGATCACACACTGGTGAAAAACCATTCAAATGTTCTCAGTGTGGAAGAGGCTTTGTATCAGCTGGAGTGCTAAAGGCGCATATTCGAACCCACACTGGATTAAAAGCATTCAAATGTCTTATATGCAACGGAGCTTTCACCACTGGAGGGAGTCTGCGGAGGCACATGGGCATCCATAATGACCTTCGGCCCTATATGTGCCCGTATTGCCAAAAAACATTCAAAACCTCATTAAATTGTAAAAAACATATGAAAACGCACAGGTTTGTGTATCTTGAAATTCAGTCCTGAACTATAATTAATTCCAGTTGTTATACAATGCTCTTTTGAACTTTTATGGGGCCTGTCGGTAAATTCAAGTTGTTGAATGAATTTTTAGGGCATTTTTTTCAGAGACTGGGAACCTAGGCTGAATTACACACCAATATTTTTAATGAGTAGATCAATTTAAAAAAGAAAATACAGGACGAGAAAAAGCTAAAAGTCTCATTATCACTTGATTTTTTAAATATATTTATTGTGGGCATAATATAAATATATTTCTTTCTGCCAATTAGGTAACTTCCTTTTATTCACTCTAATTCCTTGTTAGTTTCTCTTAGCTTCATTTTATTTAGTACTTTCAAGTTTATAATATAGCAGAAGTAGAAATGTGGGCAGATTGGGGGAATTCAGAAAGTAGCTCAAATTAGATATATTGAGCGATTGATTATATTACATCAAGTTTGTGTCAGATAAATAAATAGATTTTCTCCATGATCTGTCCCTAACCTAATCCTTCAGGTCTTTCAATGGTTTCCTTATTGCTACTGTGACTGAGTCCCTCCACCTTACTTTGGTTGTCCTTTTCTCTTTCCTTCCACCTTTCCCAGCATTAGAGCCTTCTTTAGAGACCCATGTCTTTGCATAATGTGTCCAAAGTTCTAATATGTTGACATTGCAAAAGATGCTTCTTCTTTTTCTTCTAGGTATGAGCTTGCTCAGCAGCTTCAGCAACATCAGCAAGCTGCTTCCATTGATGACACGGTTGTAGATCAGCAGAATTTACATGTTTCTACACAAATGCAAGTGGAAATTGAAAGTGAAGAGTTGCAGTCAACTGAAGCTGTTGCAACAGATCAAGAAGCTATTTTAGATTTAGAACAGCAGCAGGTTGTTGACACTGAAGAAAGCGGACTCAGGCCACAGTTGACTGATCAGTCATTAGGTCAAGAGGAAGGTAAACTACTGAGTGAATGGCTGATTACAGGATTAAAATCCACAGGGTTGTATCACTGATGGTGATATCTGGGAGTTAAGGTGTTAAATAAATATTGTATTGCCTGGATCAAGGTTTTTCGTAAGAAAAGGGGATAAGTATATATTACATTTCCAAATTCCAGATTTGGAATTTCTTTCCTTAGTAGTACTTTTTTGGCAATTCACAGGTATTTTGAAGATAAATGAAATGTAAAAATTAAGTGGCAGGGTTTTAAAAATATCAAAGTAGAAAATAATTAGACTTTTATAATTTCCTGTTTTACTTAACATCTTTTTCCAGCTAAAGTAACCCTCAATTCAGTGGGTATTATTAGTGAACTTTGGAAGCAACAAACAGAATTTGTCCCATGTGTAAAAACACACATCGCAAGGATGACATTTGTCCATACAACGTATATTTCTATGAATGTGTGAAATTTTGTTCATTCTATGTGTGTCACTATTGTATGCATGGATAAAATCAGTTGGATTTAACAGACATTTTGCTTTTCTCCATTAGTCTGTTAAATCAAGGATTTCTTTTTTTTATTAAACAGCTTCCACAGCAACTGCCGAACTACTTAATGTCATTTCCTTTTCAAATACATATATTTAATTTCAGATAGATTTGTGACATCCCAGCATGCACTGCAAGAAAATATAAACCAGTTTGAGCAGCAAACTATAGTACAGCAGTCGTTTGATCAGCAAGGATTATCACAAGGTTGGTAAAGATATAGTCATTTTAAAGGTGTCAGACAGTATTTTTGTTGCATTTGGAAGCTTCACGAGCAATTTATTTCAATTCCAAAATATCATAAATAGAAGGCAGTAAGAACTTAATGCAGTTCTACTGCTAGAAGCTAAAGTCCAGTTATTTTTTAAATTGCAGTTTTATCTTCACTGAGTTGCATCCAAAGGCAACCCTTTGCAGATGAAAATGCTCCTGTTCTCAGAAAGAGCTAGGATCATAATGGAAACTTCCAACAAGAGAAGGATGGTAATTTCCTACAATTCTCTATTCCCCCATCCCACTCCCCAGCAGTGTTCTAAAGGTTTTCAGTCTTTATGTACACTGAAATAGGTTGTGCTGGGGTCTGGAGCTAGACTGATCTTCAGCAGCAATAAATTTGCATAAAATATAAAACTGCATCCCGCCTTTTACATTAAGAATTAGAAAGCATACTTGCTCATTGGTGCACTTTTTGCTTTTTTTTTTTTTTTTTTAAAAGAAATAATTATATTTGGGCGAGGACCTTAAAATGTAAATTACTTAGAAATGCTAGAGAAGGAATAATTAAAAGTCTACATTGTACACAATTCCTATTCAACTTGGAATACCCTCTACAGATTTTCCATACTTTGGAGTTTCCTTGAAGTTCCCGGAGCCCTTCAGAAATTTTGAATTTCAGGTAGGTGTGTATGGACACATGTGTTTAAAATGGTGGACCCCATCCCTTTGTCTGGATATGTGTTTCATTCTTTTCCATTTTCCTTTCTACTAGTTAAGAGAGGAAAATTCAATTCAGGTCATTGTCTCTTTGCTTCTTTGTTCTTACAGACAGCATTGTTCTTAGCTATCACTCGTTGATTCCATAGGAAAAACATTACATGCTCTGTTATTAGACGACAGTTCAGATTGGTACTTTTCTCCTGCTGTTTCCACAGTTCTCCTTTATATGCCCATAGCTTCTCCTCCTGATGGATAGCTTTTAGATCCATAAGGGCAACACTAGAGGAATAGTACATATGTGATCTGAGGAACTATGCCTGGAAGGAAAAGGGAGCAGAACCATAAACATGACTTCTGCTATAACTATGATTGTTCCATTATAACCATTGGATAGATTATTTTTGCACCCTTCAGAGTTAGAATATATTTTCTTACTACAAGAGCCTTTCAGTACAGTTAATCAAATCTAAATGTGATACAACTCCATTAAAATAAGGAGTTAATAGAAACTTTAACACCTTAAAGGTGTGACCCATATCTCACCTGTATGATGCATACATATAAAATACTATAATTTTCAATTTCTTTAAATGTTACGAAGGCTCTTTCATTAATATTTTTCATTACGTAGTTTGTTGGGAGAATTATTGTATTTTCTGTTTTGTATGCAGGAGATTCATTAGTTTTGAGAACTATTTTTGCGTGAATACAAGTGCTGAAATATACAAGTTATTTTAAAATAAAATCATTGTCAGAACACACAGGATTTGAATACTTCTGTCTCTTCCATGAATACTAAGGATTAAAATGCAGATCTTTTTGTTCTCTACCTTTTCAACAATTCATCTTTAGATGTGAACAAAATCAGCTTCTCGCTGTTTGCAGAGGTCTTCTCTGTTATAGAACAATAATTAAATGACTCACACTTACTGTTAAGCCTATTATTAACCCATGTTAAATTTGGTCTGTTGAACCGTGGCTTAATAAACCAGGATATAAATATAAATTTCATGTGCTCATTTATTTTATTTTTTTTTCTTTGTCACTTGATTCACATAGGACATTAATTCAGATTGAGGTTTGTCAGTTTATTAAATTTAGCTTATGCAAACCCAACCACTATAGTTTAGTATTGACCACTAAGACTTTTTCAATAAACTGTAGTTTAAAAATTCTGGTTTAATATATTCAAGCATTAGCTGAACAGATTGCTCAGCCTACCTCCTGGGTAAGTTGACTTACCAAAATTAATTTTATAGCATGGATTTTCCATCAGATAGTTACTCTCAACTACTTTCTAGACCAGGGGTAGTCAACCTTGGCTCTTTTATGACTTGTGGACTTCAACTCCCAGAATTCCTGAGCCAGCCATGCTGAGGGGAAAGGGAGAGGTTTCCATGCTGAGCCATGCTGACTCAGGAATTCTGGGAATTGAAGCCCACGAGTCATAAAAGAGCCAAGGTTGACTACCCCTGTTCTAGACAAAGAACATTTTTAAACAGAGTCTTAGATATCAGTGCCCAAACAGACATGGAGGTACTGGCCCAAAAAAAAAAAGGGCTCCTTACATTGGCTGCCTAAAAACAAAACCAATTTCTAAATTGAAAAATACCTATGAATGAGTTTCATGCAATTCCTAACAAGGTCTATTCTAGAGCAAGAGTTGAGTTGCTGGATTCCATGGCTAAATATGGGTGCTTCATCACTTGTTATATCGTGAAAGGATATCTATATGTGGTGCCCCAACCACCAAAGATATTGCTCATGTTTTGTTCAACTATCAACTCCATACCACCCCCTTTAGGCTTAGATATTTAAAATCCCTACTTGAAACAACATCCCATTAAGACCTGAATGGTAGCTTGTTCTATTTGATCTAATATATAAGTTGTGAGCAGAACTGCTAACACAAGGCAGTTTAGCTAAAAATCCATTATATTGAACAGATTCGGATTTCATGTAAAGGCAATGTATTTATCCAAAAGTTAATTCTTTGTAATTAACACGTATAGATTTTATTATTTTCTTCTACCTATTTTATCTTCGAAGTAGACCTTGTATTTTACCTTTATTTTATTTTATTTTATTTTATTTGACATGGTCATAACTTTGGTACTACTGCTACCTAACAATTGACAGTCTGGGAACCACTCCTTATTGTGATTCTTATCTCATTGCATCTAAATTGGGCATTCATTATTTCTAAATGTAGTTATTTTTAAATCCACTTTAAAGGTGGATTTCATATCCTGATATAAGAATTTATTAACCACAATTTCCCCCGTTTGAATCAGTGGAAGGCTTCCTGACTTGTTTTTCAATAAATCTGAAGAGCAGAAAGGGGTTAAAAGGTGGTACACATAAAGCTCATGCATATCCTGGTTTATTCAGCCAAGGCTTCATTATTCAAATTTGCCTATTGTGAAGAATAAAAAGCCCCTCAGATTTAACTACCATATAATACACTAAGCAAATAATTTTCCAATCTGCTTGAAAGACTTCCAGGTCAATGGTAGCCATGGATTTTGTAACAAGTAAATATGGAAAGTTATTACATCCTCCCTTCGCTGCATTTTCAACAGTTACCTCCACTTTTTATGGAACTCTGTTCTTTCCAAGAAAAGAAGGAAGCAGTAGAAGGGAAAACAGCGACTTGTAAATTACATCATTTAAAAGGAAGAAATAACGCTCTATGTTGTAGATTCAATTTGAGGAGAATTGTGTGATTATTTTTTCCTTGGATTAGGGCACACATTTATATCAATATTTGTTCCTGCTTTATTTGGTGGGTAATAAGGAAGATAAAGGGTACCGGGTCAACCTCTTAGACACATGCATGTGTACATAATAAGTTTTACACTTGCCGAGACTCAATTTTCCTTTGAAGTTAAATACAAGACACCTTTAATGACATTTTTTCTTCCTTTTACTTTCCATTCACTGGAATGATACCGATAAATCATTTAGGAATCTTACAAAGATGTAAACAAGAAAAGAAGATCCAAACCTCTTGTCTCAAAGGTAAAAAGGTATCGGTAATAATATTACATGAGCTATTACTATATTGTTCTTCATTAGGTATTGCTGATTTTATGGATCCCTGTTTTTCTATAGCAATATGTAGGGTTGGTTAGATGACATCAAGTTGGCATGACCACACATGTTCCCTATGTCACACTATCTCTAGTGATAATGCATAGCTATTCCAAAAATATTCCAGTGATCTCTTGATTTCCATCCAGAGAACAACTTTGCCAAGGTCAGACATTTTCCCCCAGTCCAAATATATTCCTCATTATCTTTCACCACTAAGTAGCCGCTAATAGATGGCAATATTTGTATAAAATTTATTTTTACTTGCTACATATTAGTTTCTAATATGATCCTGACATATATTGGGTTAATAATAATAATAGTAAAGTTGGAAGAGACTTTGGAGGTCATCTAGTCCAACCCCCTGCTTAGGCAGGAAACCCTATACCATTTCACACAAATGGCTGTCCAGTCTCTTCTTGAAAACTTCCAGTGCTTCTGGAGGCAGGTTGTTCCACTGGTTAATTGTTCTAACTGTCAGGAAGTTTCTCCTTAGTTCCAGGTTGCTTCTCTCTTTGGTTAGTTTCCACCCATTGCTTCTTGTCCTGCCCTTAGGCGCTTTGGAGAATAGCTTGACTCCCTCTTCTTTGTGGCAGCCCCTGAGATATTGGAACACTGCTATCAAGTCCCCCCTCGTCCTTCTCTTCATTAAACTAGACATACCCAATTCCAGCAACGGTTCCTTATATGCTTTAGCCTCCAGTCCCCTAATCATCTTTGTTGCTCTTCTCTGTACTCCTTCTAGAGTCTCAGCATCTTTTTTGCATCGCGGTGACCAAAACTGGATGCAGTATCAAATCATATATATATATATCTATATATCAAATCATATATTTGACTGACCTTTTTGATATCATTGTCACTCCATATTTTCATATAGTCTCATGCTTTGGATAATATATGTATAATGTGGTTTAAAGAGGCCTATCCCTATCTTATCTATGTTAACTTGTTTGTAAAGTTTCAAATTTAGCAAGCTTCATTTCCTACTTCATAATTCCAGGTTTTCCTTATTTCATGCATCTCACATTCTATGTTCTAATTATGTGTGTCCTTCTAAGTTATGAATTCCTCTTTGTTACTATGAAAGCCAGTCTGGTGTAGTGGTTAAGGCAGTGATGGCGAACCTTTTAGAGACCGAGTGCCCAAACTGCAACCCAAAACCTACTTATGCATCGTCGGGTGCCGGGTGGGTGTGGCTCATTGGGTGGGTGTGGCCATTGGGTGGGCGTGGCTGCAGTGGTAACAGCAGACTGGGTGGGACTAAAAAGTTAAATCAATCAATTCCAACTTTGCAAGATCTTTTTTTTCCTGTGAGAAGTTGAAATTGACTGATTGATTGAACCTTTTTTTTTTTGCACATGGTGGCGGAGGCCTAAAGCGAAAAGGTTTTATAAAACCCAGCTGAAGGCCTAGGACTGGGGCGATGGCGCGCGTGCCCATAGAGAGGGCTCTGAGTGCCGCCTCTGGCACCCGTGCCATAGGTTCGCCACCACTGGGTTAAGGCATCAGGCTAGAAACCAGGAGTCCTGCCTTTGGCACAAAGCCAGCTGAGTGACATTGGGTTATTCACTTTCTCTCTGCCCTAGGAAGGAGACAATGGCAAATCACTTATAAAAAACCTTGCTGAAGAAACTGCAGGGAATTATCAATAACAATGGCAATAATAGAGTTGGAAGGGACCTTGGAGGTCTTCTCGTCCAACCCCCTACTCAGGCAGGAAACCCTAATACCATTTCAGACAAATGGTTGTCCAATCTCTTCTTAAAAACTTCCAGTCTTGGAGCATTCACAACTTCTGGAGGCAGGTTGTTTCACTGATTAATTGTTCTAACTGTCAGGACATTTCTCCTTAGTTCTAGGTTATCCAGTCAGTCTCCGAGAATTGGACATGATTGAATGGAAGAGGGGGAAAAAATGAGTTCCTCTTTCAGGAACCAATCTTCTTGCGTTTTTGATTTGGCTCTCTATATTTAGAGAGAAGGCCAGTCTGTATTGGGGAAAATGTGTCATCATCTGCCACACAAGCATATTGGCATAATGTTTATATACTTTTCTTGTCAGCAATAAATAGTTTGTCATTGTCTTCTTCTAGTTTTCATATTCCTAGATGGGCTGTCTTTCCTCATTTCTATAGAATCATACCTACACTTACCTTAATTATCCTTAGCTTCACCTTTTGATTTTATTGGTGAAGGTGACCCTAATGGCAGCTAATACATGTATGGATTAGCTAATAATAAGGATCATTAACATTATTCAGCTGTCCCATTATATCCAGATCACGGTGTGTCAGGCTTTTAAAATATGATACTATGGTGGTATTACTTACATAAACTTTGAAATAATATCTCACAGTCTTGCCAAGAAAGAGGAGAAGTGAAGGATTATTGACCAGTGCAACAATTTGTTCCAGTCTTGGATCTATCCCAGAGATTTGGAAAGAGATTTTCCTTGCATTCCTGTTTGCTGAGTTCAAGGTGCTATTTTATATGAATCATGTTAAAGAGCTCATTTAGTTAGCAAAACCTGAGTTGTGAAGGATTTTGTGTGTGTGTTTTAGCTGTGTTTGTGTTAAAAAAAATAGGGGGTTGTTTTGTTCATTTGTATTTGTACCAGGTTTTACAGTTAATGATGGCTACAGTCAACCAAATCAGTTTCCAGCAGTACAGCAGCTTCAGGATTCAAGCACTCTCGAATCTCAGGCTCTTTCAACAAGCTACCATCAACCAAATCTGCTTCAGGTTCCTGCCCCTGACACTATCAATGTAGTAAGTATTTATTAAAAGATTGAAGAAACTACTTTGTGCTTTTTCTAATTTGAGACTCTGGATGAGATTTTGGATGAAATCTGTTTTTTATGTGATTTCAAGGCTAATAATAAGACAGAGATAGCTTTGATGGATGATCAGCTTCAGGAACTGAAAGAATTTTTATAACTGTCTCTTGTCAGTCTCTTGAACCTTGGTATTTAAAAACAGAACCATAGTATGGCTAGTTGAGAAATACCTCAAAGACTTTTTGGCAAGTCTTAGAAATCTAATTAGATCCTTGGATCCAATTTCAGAAGATTGTGCTGAATGTAATAGCTGATTTAGATGGATTGGCTTGGTAAGGGACAATAGAAGCTTAATGTGGATAAGACTGCAGTCAATAGGTAGATATAACTTAGGAATTATTTGGGAGGATTTATTGTCCTTTTGAAGAATTAGTTTTCCAGTGTCAAAAACTGTCTTCTTCGTGATCATATTTCAGCAATGTCTATTATTTTATATAACTAAAATTAATATACCAATTGTACTCATTACTGGTTTTAATAGTCTGGAGACGATTTAAGTAGGGTAAACCTACTGAAGGATATAATATAACGTCACTTTAAGAAATAGTTTCGGTCAATATTTATTCCAATACTAAGGAAATAACGTTAAAATGATCAATGTTTAGATACAGATTCGGGACAATACTGATATCCACTTTTGGATATTCGTCCTATAAACTTTTTGTGAAGATGGTATAAGAATGCTACAGCAGGCCTTTTCAGTTGCTTCTGCCAAATGCTGGAAATCCACATTTGGAACCTAGATGCTAGAATTTTCTTCATAGAATGTATCTTCATACTTTTTTTTCACATAAGCCTTGACTTTTAGACTGACTTACTGGTAAAGTAAAAGTTAACGATTGGATACCTTTTTTCATGTATTCCTTTTATTTGCTTTTATGTTTTGATCATGACTTCTGTATTGCATAGTTAGCCATCTTGAAAATGCATTTTGGTAGAAAAGCAACGTATATGTAAATATTTTTTTCTCTCCAAAATTAAAACATTTATTTAAATCAGAGAAATAATCTATGCTCAGAATAGGATTGTGGCATTTTGGAATCACTTGGGTTTAGATCTTCTACCCTTATGGGCTCAATCAGAGGTTATTATCCACTGTACATTTAAAGGATTTATTTTAATTATTGATAACCAGGCTACCCGGTTAGTTCAAGATCAATCATCAGACCTTGAGATGCATAACCAGCGTTCCCAGTTTCTGGAAGATAACGATGATCAAAGCAAGAGATCTTACAGGTATGTCACACTTCAAAAGGTATAGTTATATATAATATGTGTGTTTTGCTAGCATTAAGTCAGAAACTGTAATTTTTTTCACATATTCATAGGTATTCATCAATTCTTTTGTTTCATTTTATTCAACGGAAACTTTCATTTTAATAGGTGTGAGTATTGCAATAAGGGCTTCAAGAAATCTAGCCACTTGAAGCAGCACGTCCGTTCACACACTGGGGAGAAGCCTTATAAATGTCAACTCTGCGGCCGGGGATTTGTCTCTTCTGGAGTTCTTAAATCTCATGAGAAAACACATACAGGTGATGAAATTTTGATAATATTTGGCTCCCTTGCAAATCCCTTTAGCTTACTTAAAATGGACAGTAGTACAATGGGATCATGGCCGGAGATACAGATAGACCTTGACTTATGACCATAATTGAGCTCAAAATTTCTGTTGCTAATTGAGACAGTTGTCAAGTGAGTTTTGCCCCATTTTATGACATTTCTTGCCATAGTTGTTAAGTGAGTCACTGCAGCTGTTAAGTTAGTAACATGGTTGTTAAGTGAAACTGACATCCCCACTGACTTTGCTTGTCAGAAAGTTACAAACAGTGGTCACATGACCCCGGGACACTGTAACCGTCATAAACACGAGTCAATTGCCAAGCATCTGAATTTTGATCACATAACCGTGGAGATGCTGTAACGGTTGTAAGTTTGAAAAACTGTCGTAGGTCATTTTTTTTTCACTGTTGTCGTAACTTTGAATGGTCACTAAATGAACTGTTGCAAGTCGAGGACTTTCATCATGGAGGTTCCATTTAATTAATGGGATTAATAGTTACCAGTTACAAAATCTTTTATAAATTCACAAAAAGTGGCATCAGTGTAGTGATTTGTTGAGAAAACTGAAGTAGTAATGAGAGAATAGATTTGAAATCCTCACGCAGCCGTGAAGCTCATTTGGTGACAGAACTAGCCAGTCTTTATTACCCTAATTTTATAGGATTGTTTTGAATACTTTTGTAGGGGAGGAGTAACCTTGTATTGCAGCTGAACGTAGATTAAAAATGTGGTGAATAAATAAAAATAAATACATCTGTGGAACTAATTGGAAGTCATCAGAGTATGTTTTCACATTTGCCTTTGTTTTGTATCATTTTGATGTAGAGATGAATTATACAACCACCACTCCCCGTTTCCATTTACTTTCCTCTGGTTTTACCCCCAGGAGTTAAAGCATTCAGTTGCAGTATTTGTAATACTTCCTTCACCACCAATGGAAGCCTTACTAGACATATGACAACTCATATGAGTATGAAGCCCTACAAGTGCCCATTTTGTGATGAAAGCTTCAGAACCACAGTTCACTGTAAAAAACATATGAAAAAGCATCAAGCAGTGTCTTCAACAGCAGCAACGGGAGAAGTAACTGGAGGGGGTAAGCAACTTTCTCTATGTAGCAGAAAAGCATATTACAATTAGCCTTGACTTACAATTGGTTGTTTAACTAGCATTCAAAGTTATGACAGTCTTGAAAAGGATGCTCTACAACCCATAAAGCACTTCTGACCATTGTAAAAAATATTGGATCGCCTCCCCATCACATGACTCTATATTTTCAGTACTTGGCAATTGGCTCACATTTATAACCAGTTGCCAAGCTCCCTGTGATCATGTGATCGTCATTTGCAATTTTCTCTGCTGGCTTCCCAAGAAATTCAGTGGGGAAGCCAAGAGAGATGGTGGTGATGGTGGTAGTGGTGGTGGTGGGGAGAGCGGAACTGAAATCCTTTGTGCACAGAGGGGAAGGAAAGCCCTTGGTGGGCTATCAGGAGAGTATCGTATCAGCAAGTAGATCTTTTGTTCTGTCTTTTTAATAACCTGGGAGAGCACTTAACAATCACAACCAGGAATGCCAGGATTGCAGTCGTTGAGCAAAGCAGTCATGGGCATCTCACTTAGCAACCACTTTGCTCAAAAACTTTGCTCAAAAAGATTCTGGCCTCAGTTGTGGTTGTAAATTCAGAATTAGCTATAAATGTTCTTTAGCATAAAAAAATTACAGGATTTTTTTTGCCTGGAATTGTATAATCAGACTTGTATAATTTGAAAGAGAACATGCATCACAATATTGTGTTGTTAGTTGACGTAGACCATGTAGTGGCCTTGCAGGCACATATCTGATGCCCTTTCAGCTTGGAGTATCTGTACTTTTGTATAAGTGCTATGAATTTTGCATTAACATCCAAGAAGTTTTTGTTTGGTATTACTAGGTCCTTAAAAGTGTTGCTTTCCTATTTAATTATGCAGAAGAAGAAGAGGCAGCATCTGAAAAGACAAGCTCTCGAAAATCTAGGCCAGGTGTTATCACATTCACAGAGGAGGAAACAGCTGAACTTGCGAAGATTAGACCTCAAGAAAGTGCCACTGTCTCTGAAAAAGTACTGGTCCAGTCTGCAGCAGAAAAGGACAGGATTAGTGAAATCAAAGACAAACAAGCAGAAATGGAGGCTGAGCCAAAATATGCCAATTGTTGTAGTTACTGTCCAAAAAGCTTTAAAAAACCTAGTGACTTAGTTAGGTAAGTGAATGAGATTTTTTTTTAGTTTTGATAAATGAATTATATTACTTTGCATTTTAGTTTCTTTCATCCTTAATTAAAAGGAAGAGGCAAGCAACCTTCCAATGGTCATTTGCGTATAAACCTGAGCAAATGGGTACCACCTGCCACACCGGCTAGGGTAGTTTGTACTATCTCTGAATAACTCTTTACAAAACAGTCTGACTTCTCAGTGTTGGCAGGGTCTCATCTGTCAGTTCAGTACTAACTGCATGCTCAGTATTTTGATGACATTATTTTCCAGTTAGAAGCTGGTCACACTGAAACCAAATTTTGAAAGCATTCTACAGCAAAGCGTAGATATAGCTCTATTATTTCATGTTCTTTGGATTATAGTAGTTACAATAAAATGCCATATGTTTTATTACTTTTGAAGAGTTTATATTCGATGATACAATTAAATGCACGCACAGGCAGTTTTGATAGTTTAATGTTTTTCTCATACATGCACATACAACTTGTGTTCATCTGCAGCAAAGCACTAGTTTTGACTACTTAAATAACAACTGGTCTATGGACTTCTTGGCTAAATACTATTTTTATCATCCCCTTATATTCAGATTATAATTTTTCCATCAAATAATTCTTTATTCTTTACTTTACAAAGTTATGTTAACCATTGGGAGGCAGTATGTGATTGGCTTCATCCTTATTGAGACTCATCAGGTGTATGCCTGATGAGTCCCACTAAGGGTGAAACTAGACATATATTGCATCTTGGTGATCAACACAACTGAAAATACTATACAGGTTATGCACTTTATAAAAACACAGAAATTCCTCTCCCCTCAGCCCAATAGTGGAGGTGAAAGTCATTTAATGCTGTACAGGAGAACATGATATAACAATTGAATCTCTCAGAGTTAAAGTGGACTGTATATAACAATTTCTTCCCCCATGTCAATTTATTTACAAATATGTATCTGCTAAATCTGTACTTAGAACCAAGTTTGGAAAGTACAGGATATTATAGGCACATTTTTTAAAAATGATTTTTACTATATGCTTAGGCTGCGTTGAATGTAGACCATAGAGTTTTGATAATTCTATAGGAAAATGAGGCCTAACTGAAGATGAGACCCAACTGAAACTTTTTAGCTATTTTAGTAAACATAATATACCTTTTAATGATTAGAACAAATATCTTTGGCTAGGCATGTACGTATCCATACGGGAGAAAAGCCTTATAAATGTGATGAATGTGGAAAAAGTTTTACTGTAAAGTCGACTTTGGACTGTCATGTAAAAACACACACAGGTATGTAAGATCATGAGCACTTCCAGCTTAATTAGATAACAGTGAATAAACATCAGATATATACTGTACCTTGTATTTTAGGCTGGTAATCTGGCAAAGATACTTGACTTTCTAATGAATTAACAATTTAGCTTTTAATACTTAAGTATACCGTTTGGTTTCCCTCCCTCCCCCCCATGCATTTCTTCTTCCACTTAATTGTCTGAAAGCTGGTTAAATGGTTATAGTATAACCAATATATTTGACGTATACTAGCTGACTTTGTCTAGTTTATGGCCTAAAAGTATTTTTTTTTTCAAAACTCTGAAATTTAGGAGTAAGTCATGATTTAGGAGGAAGTCCCCTCTAAACAAGTTCTTTATCAAATACTATAAAACATTAATGCAGATTTTTTTAATGTCCAAACAAAATCTAGCAGAAATGTATAAGTGATCAGAAATAATGTATATTTCGCTGTACACTATTTCATTGTTCTCCAGGTCAGAAACTTTTCAGCTGCCATGTATGTAGTAATTCATTTTCTACAAAAGGGAGTTTGAAAGTTCATATGCGCCTACATACTGGAGCAAAGCCTTTTAAGTGTCCTCATTGTGAATTAAGGTTTCGGACTTCTGGACGCAGAAAGACTCACATACAGTGCCATTTTAAATCAGAGGCCAAGAAAGCCAGGAAACCTGGTTCTCGTGCTACAGCTAAAGGTCTACAGCCAGTCAATCTTCTTAATTCATCCACAAATGATCCTAATGTTTTCATCATGAATAATTCGGTGCTGACAGGCCAGTTTGAGCAAAATTTGCTCCAGCAAAGTATCGTTGGTCAGGCTATACTTCCTGCTTCTATGTCAGGTAAACATGGAAGTGTTTCATTCTATTTTCTAGGGGTTTCGGTTTGGGAAAGGTGATGTAGAAATGTTTATGCTGTTCAAAATCAAACTCTTCTGTGGCTCCTGTTAATGTTGACGGAGAGACTTTCAAGACAGATGTTGGTAAAGTCACATCAGTTTTGGCTCATTGAACAAGGGTTTCCACAGATATTTAATTGAGTCTCTCCATCTTAAGATGTACAGGTGTGTTTGAAGGTTATTCAGAGAGGACATTTGTTTGTGGGTTTTTTTTGCAGGGAGACACTTGGGTTGTATTAGAAAAAAATGCAATTCTTATGATTTCAGGATTTCTGCCTGATTATTGATATCTTGGAAATAAGATATAATAACTAATAAATTTGAAGAGAATGGTAAAATATTTTTAAAAATTCAGTCGGTTGCATCATAAAATTAGTAAACTGCAGTACTAAAATAGTAGCAAAATTATTGAAAACCATAAATTCTGGTTGATTTATTATATTTTATGGAATGCTAATTATTTTGGTACAAATAGTTTTAGTCATTTAGTGTGTACGGATTTGTGTTGTGTCATTCCCACTGTATGTACACCCGCTTACTTATATTCATTTGTATGTGTAGAATGCACATACTCTCTGATTTCATTGCTATCAAAATCAATCAGAATTAATCAATTTTACAGCATATAGTACCAGTTTTATTGGTATTACCACTATGCAGTATTGCATATTTATTTAAAAAGAAGATTCGTTATTCAGTAAGGCATTCCTCAGTAAGTGACTTTAGGATTTCAGTTTTAATTATGGTAGTATAGCTTGCTTAATTCACTGATGTAGAAAAGGGATTAATTCATGTTTAATCTTAGTTTTTGTATATAAAAACTGAAATATATATAAAATATGGCTGTTTTCTTTGGTAGCTGGAGGTGATTTAACTCTATCCTTGACAGATGGTAGTTTGGCCACCCTTGAAGGAATACAGTTGCAACTTGCTGCCAACTTGGTTGGACAGAATGTTCAAATTTCTGGAATAGATCCTAGTAGCATTAACAACATTACTTTACAGGTGGGTTTATTCTATATTATCCTTCATAAGCTGTATAATAAGTTATACATAGACAAATGCCCATAATCCCTTTTACTCTCCAGATCTTTCATTTAATGACTAAATAATATTTAAGTGCTATTTTTTTCTCCTCTTCCTGCAAGTAATTTTCTTTGCATAATTTTATTTATTTTATTGCCCGCTTACTTAGAATATGGATTCCTAATTCTCCCTAATTACTGAAAAAATTTAACTGCTAAGAGAATGTTATAGGCATCCTTCTAAAAGGGGATTTACCCATGTGCAGAAGAGCTGAATTGGTGAATGTGAAGCATCGCTCACGTTATCATAAGTAATATTGCTGAGAATGTTTTTTGCTATCTTTCTGACCCAGTATCTCCTATTTTATATTTGAAAGTTTTTAGCAGGAGATGAGGCACTGTGAAAAGAAAGCCCTTGACCTGCAGCTGTACAACCTTTTGATTTTCTAAGAAAGTTAATTATGTTCATGTAGCGCTTAGAAGCTTTCTTATAAATAATACTTGACACTTTGCTTTGAACAAGCCAACTTTAAAACAGTAGTTCTAGAAGGTCTTCAGATAGAATAAAGGTCTGCTGAGTGCCAATGGACATGGAAAATTTAGATCTTTTAATGCTAAAAAGGAAAATGAAGTGGTTCAGATTCACGATTTGGCAACGTCTGGCAGAATTTGTATTTTATTGGATGATATTCAAAATAAGCCAATGTAACATTGCCACAAAACGTTAAGTTATCCAGATCTATCTATGACATGAGCCAACATCTTTTACTTGGGTATTATAGTTTTACTATACTCGGATTTAGAAAATAAAAGTGGAATATATTTCCTATTGAACTTGTTTCTTTTCAGATTGACCCCAGTCTTTTGCAACAGACTCTTCAACAGAGTAATGTACTGAGCCAGCAGCTAACAGGAGATCCCAGTATGGTGTCTCAGAACTCCTCCCTACAGACAGCAGAAAGTACAGTGTCAGCAGCAAATGTGGTAATACAGCCCTTGTCAGGCTTGTCCTTACAGCCCAATGTTACTTCTTCAGCAAATATGACAATGGGGCCTATGGCTGAGCAAGAATCTGTATTGGCTACAACTACTACAGGTAAATACAGTAGGAAAGCATATCCGACTAGAAGGTCTTTGATTAAAATTATCTAAATTCTTGTTATTTTCCTATCTTATAATCATACCACTATAATCTGATAAAACACATATTTCTATTAAGAAAAATTTCTAAAATAGATCAAGATAAGGCCATCTTATCCTCACAGGCCAGAAATTCAATTTCTCTCAGGAATATCTCCCTGAAATAACTTACTGTATGATCCTCCTGGCCCATCTCTGAGAGATATTTTTCTATTTTTTAATTGCTTAAATAATTTAAAATATGATTGCTTAATTCTTTGGAAAAAGCAAAGATTTGATCCCTCATTAAGGATGGTTCTACAAATGGTCCCCTGCAGGAGTCTGGAAGAAAATTCTTCAGATCAGTCCCAGGAATCACAAACAACCTTCTACTCCTTCAGATCTAACCCAGATAGACCACCTGTTTTTCCACTATTGTGATTCCAATTCTTGGATTATTTATATGGCAACTATTAATATTTGATATGCATCAAAGCCAGCTCCCTTACATTTTTCAGTTATGTATCCAACCCCATTATAACATTAAATATGTACAATGTAAAGCCTGACTACTTTTATTTAGTTTATTTTACTCACGTTCAGGTTCACAGGATCTCTCTCAAGTTATGACTTCACAGGGAATGGTATCAACTGCCAATGGTCAGCATGAGATTACACTGACAATAAATAGTTCTGGTCTGAGTCATGTTTTAACTCATGCTTCTAGTTCAACCACTACAAATTCATCAGGAACCCCTCAAGAGATCACCCTTACTATATCTGGCAAGTATAATTGTGAAGTCATTCTGATTCTTCTCAGTTGGCTCTGTTTTAATGAAACATACTCATTTGCAGGTTTGTCTTAGGTGGAAGATTTAGAGTATATTTGGTGGGGTTAAAAATGTAATGTTATAGTAAGTTTTGTACAAGCTCTCCTTGATCTTTAACTAATTAGTACTAATTGAGTATATATTAGAATTATTATTATTTTTTAAAAAATTTTGAGGCTTTTGGTGAACAGGAACTGCACAGCAGTTTGGCAATATACAGTTTATATTGTGAAAGAATTCATAATTATGTACTTTGAACTTGACAAAATTTAGCATACTTGTCTCTCAATTTGTTATACGAGTGAGAATAATTCTGTGCTTTATTTCATTATATAGATATGCTCTCTGTACATACTGATTTTGTCAATTTGTATTAAAATAGGATGCAGTGGACCTTCTAAGTGTAGAGCTTAGTCATGCTTAAACTCTTATTCTGAAGTTTAAAAATAAACTATTCCCTTTTGAAAATGAAAAATTGTTCATTTTAAATAATAAAATATATAAAGTTTCATGATGGCACTAATTGCTGAGAGCTTTATTACTGAAAAAGGAAAGTGAAATTTAGATCTGAAGTGGCTAAACAATTCCATTTTCCATTTAGGCCAAGATCTTATTCAACACATTTCCTCTGGCAACAGTGAACTGAATGGAAGCCTACGATTGGCAACACCTAATATCACTAATCAATCACCTGCTACTACATTAACTATAAATAATGATCAGTTACTGTCTCAAAACTCAACATTGAATAGTTCTTCAGGTGAGTTTTCATTTATTTTCTTCAAACTTGCTCGTTTGCACATAGTTATTTAAAACTACTTTACAATGAACTCAATGGAATTTACATTTCAAAAGATGTTATTAGTTTGAATCGTATGATTGTCTTTAGTAGGAAATAAGTGAGACAGCCATGGTTTGGAGGAATAGGGTCATGGAGAGAATGTGATTTACCTTGTCAAGATGCAAAGATGGCACAGTTTACCTTCCCAAGGGGCTTAAGTTCATTCCAAAAATATGTACCCCCAGAAGTCACTTCCAGTGCTAGAACTGCCAAACAAGAGCTTGCAGTCATGAAAAGCATCACGTTTCACTGTGGTGGGGAGGGTATGTTGTTTTGCATTGTGTCTTCAAACAGATGCTTTGCATAGCTTTTCCTCACACCAAAGTAATCATCTGAATATTTGAATGTCCTTGTAATCTAAATGCCTGGTCACCTTATCTAAATTTCAGTGCACTTTGTGCTTGTTTGCCCGCTAGCTTTAATTTAGGAGTTCAAGGCAACACATATAGCATTCTTTTCTCTTGTTTTTCTCCACAGCAATCATCTGAGACAGGTTTAGCTAAAAGTGTGGCACCTTTAGAGGTAGACCAGGTTAGGAGACAAATACCCAAGAAAATATGTTATGGTATACAGGTAGTCCTTGACTCACGACCACAACTGAGCCCCAAATTTATGTTGTTAAGTGAGTTTTGCCCCATTTTACGATCTTAAGTGAATCATTGCAGTTATTAAGTTAGTAATGTTGTTAAGTGAATCTGGCTTCCCCATTGACTTTGCTTGTCAGGAGGTCACAAAAAATGACCCCTGGATACTGCAACCGTCATAAATATGAACCAGTTGCCAAGTATCTGAATTTTGATCACGTGACCCTGGGGATGCTGCAACGGTTGTAAGTATGAAAAACGGTCATACGTCACTTTTTTCAGTGTGTTGTAACTTTGAATGGTCACTAAATGAACTGTTGTAAGTCGAGGACTACCTGTATAAGCTATAATAGCAGAATCTTGAAAACCTGACAGTTTGTCTCTCCCTCCCTCTTATACCCAAGATAATCATAGTGGACCAGTCTTGAATTTTTCCTCACTCTCGCCTGTGTTTCCAGGCAAAATTGATATTTTTGTAATGACTGCTATATATTTTCTTCAAGGCCATTTCCAAACCTCTGCTGAGAGAGTGAATTCCCCAAAGTTGCTCAGTTTGGTCTCCCACCAAACATGCTGACTTGCCCATTACAAATTACACTAGTGCAGCCTTCCTAATCCTGACATTCTGAATCAGACACATGTTAAGCACATTAGTCAGGAGAAGTAGCACCAAGATATTACACAAAATACAGGTTAATGTCATGTAAGTGCCTGTTAAAATCTCTGTGATTCCAGCCTATTCTGTTGAATTTGTTTGCTGCATGCAGAATATCTGAGGGCAAGCAGACATTAATGAGCATTTATTTTAATTGTTAGGAATACATATTTTTTTATAGGTGGTAAGTAGCACAGAACTATTTTAGAGTATGATACTTCTAGTTGAAGCTGAAATTTAAATTTTGCATGGGTTACAAAATGGCTAAATAATGAAGAATCTAAGAATGTTGTACATCTCTAATTATGGATTGTGATTCTGATTTTGAATTCTTAACAATATACTTTTTGTAGAACTTAACACTTCAAACGGAAACCTTCCAGCAACACCACCCCTGTCTCAGCCAGCTCAGAATCTAGTAATGTCATCTCCAGGTGTGGGAGGAGATGGCAGTGTCACGTTGACCCTGGCAGATACTCAGAGTATGTTATCTGCTGGTCTTGATGCAGTCACACTTAATATCACTTCACAGGTTTGTATCATTTCTCTGAACTGTTCTATCCTGTTCTTAACCTTTCCTAAAGGTATAGAATTTGAAAAAAATATTGTTAATGTTAATGTTAATGTTAATTTAATTTGTATACCGCCCTTCTCCCATAGGACTCAGGGCGGTTCACAGCATATTAAAAAACAAATACTATACACAAAATACAAGAATACAGAAATACAAAAATATAAACCCCAATAAAAGCCGAATTAAAAACCAAATATTGCCAGCTGTGTTTCCGATTAAAATTACTTTTAAAATCATCCCTACCTAAAATTAACCATTAAGTAAGAAATCCTGCTTGTATAGCAATGAATACCGAACATATTTTTAAAAGTATGCTATATACCTCACTCTTCATGTGGTTTCGACTTTGTGATATATCTGGTGCTGCATATTTCAAGGTCACTATGTGATTGAATTTTTGCTTATGTTTCCTAAGGGTAAGATGGGACATTCAGGCTTTGCATTCAAACTTCTGTTGTTTTTCCCCCTCTTCTTGCCTATTCTCTTTGCTTCCTAAAACTTGCTCCAGATAATATGGAATTCTAAAGATGGCATGAGAACTGCAGGGGGAAGCACAGATTAACAAATATACTGTAGCTCCCTTCTTTTCTCCCCAGGAAGCATTGAATTAGTGGGACTAGAAACTCTGTTGTGTCCTTTTGTTTCCAGAACAATAGTTTGAATCCAGCTGACTGATAGCTCTCATCAATTACAAAGGACTTTTGTTTTCCCTTCGGTTTTCCCATTAATTTATCTACATCTGGCATATCCATAGATTAAATATACAAATTGAATAAAATGAAAAAATGAAAAAATGAAATCCCTTGCAGTAAGAAGAAAATACAGAAGAGAGTTACACCTGTGGGAGATATTTTAAATTTGGAAGTGTGTTAAGGAAGGATATAGGGTGTGATACAAATATGAAGATGGATAATATGAATTGGTGCTTCTTTTAGCTGTATGGTTTTAAAACAAAGTGTAGCATACAGGCGAGATGGACAGTAAACAAGTCTAATAGTTATAATCGTTTATCAGAATATGTTATATAATGCTGCATCTTCATTGCTTTCCTCTTAGGAACCAATTTGAAGAATGTAAAACTGAAATAAATGTTTATTAGTCTTTTATATAGCCTTTTCAACTTTATGTTTAGTTGTTTTTTAATTATTAACGAGTGACAAATCTCTTGAATTTTGTTAGTTCTACATATTAACAAATTGATGGTGCCGTAAGTGTGATTTGTTGGACAGATTTAGATTTAACACAAAACTTTCATTAATGCTATAGGATAATAGTCTATAGCAGGGGCCCCCAATCCCTGGTCCATGGACTGGCACTGGTCCTGGGCATGCCAGAAACCGGTCTGCGCAAACAAGCAAAGCCCCATCCGCGGGATGCAGGGAGCACACGAAACCACGCCTCCTCTGGTCCGCGGAAAAATCTTTATGGCACCAGTCCCTGGTGCCCAAAAGGTTGGGGGCCACTGGTTTGTAGGCTATCAGTAAATTAATTTTACATTACATATTATTGCATTTAAGGTGAACCCTAATATTCAACAAGTTAAATATTTTAGGGTTATTAATAGATGCTTATGTTAAACATTTCACCTGTGTTATCATGGGGACTTCACAAACAAATGATCTTATCTATTGATAACTTTTAGTTACCTATGCATGGAAAGTTTAAATAATAAATAAGTTAAGTTGCATAGACTTTGATGATGTGAGTTAATTGCACATTTTTCTAAACATTTGGAAATTTCTTTCCCAGGGTCAACAGTTTCCTGCTTTACTCACAGATTCTACTCTCTCTGGGCAGACCAATTCAAACTCGCAGCAGGTCATATTAGTCAGTCATGCTCCACATTCAGTACCTCCAAACCATGATGAATTAACTTATCAGGTAAGTAGTCTTCATTAGCCTTTCTTGAATGATAATGCAGTCATTTTGTGTCCTGTATCTGAGGTTGTCATTTATCTTACTCATTTTATTTTATTAGGGATAGTATCTATAAAAACTTCAATTTGACAGAGGTTTGCTCTTCTAAAGAGAATTTGAGATGGCACTCTATTAAAAGTAGTATTTGTTATTTTTCTAAATGAGACCTGAAGTGCAGTCCTTTATATAGAGGGGCTGTTGTTCAATCAACCACATAGTGTATATTGCAATGTTTTCCAGCCTGGTACTCTCCCAATATATTTTAGATATTGTCAATTGCCATAATCCCCCTGTCAGTGTAACCTCTAATTAATGGATTCTGAAATTTAAAGTCCAATATATCTAAGTAATTTGTTTGAAGAATCTCATATATGGAACTGAAGCCTTAGGCTGATATTTTTGTTCACAACTATCCTAGTGAATTTAATACAGCATATTTTTGCATTGATATACATTATTGGTGTCAGATGCAACTTTTTTATTTTAAAGTCAAAATTTGATTCTCTCATGTGATTGTTTTATTCTTAATACTTATTTTATCTTGTTCTTCTTACATGCCCTGGTTGCATCTCATCATCATTATTGTTTAATTCTTCTGATTTTCTCTTACATCACTAATCAGAAACTTACTATTATTATTCTGCTCTTTTGGATTCTTTTAGGATAGTTTTTCAAATTAATTATAATCATTAGTGTTAATGATTGTTGCTTGTAAATTTGATAGCTGGATTAGCTTGCCTCGTCTTTTTCCAACAGCATCCTATAAGATCTCTGAATGAGCAGTGGTGAAGATAACCATTTCCCATGTTGTTTGTGTCCAGTTTCTGAAGAATCTTTGTTTGATTGATAAGATCCTACATACATTTTTCATTTTTTAAAGAATTAATTGAATTTAAATGTGATGTCTATAAAGCAAGAAAATGTAACTTCCCCTTTTTTCCATTTTGGCATATGCATTGCTAGCCTTGACAGATGCCCTGTTAGTGTGCTAACATTGCCTTTGAAATAATTTAATTTAAAGTATCCCTTTAAAATGGGCTGTCTGATGAGTGTAGTATTCCTTAGAAGAATTCCTCCTGGCCCACCTAGTTAACCTAAAATCCTGGCCAGCAAGATTTTTGCAATGTGTACAATATGTACAATAATACATGATTCAAAATATGACTTACTTTTGATATTTTGAACTTAATTACACCAGTACTTTCTTTGGATGATCTTTGCATTGAAACTTTAAAGGAGAGAATAAAGTATTAAAAGTCAGTTCATATTTTTGCAACTTAATATTTATGATTTTGCTGTACTAAGGACTCCCATATATGTCTGTTGATTGCCTTCGCATCCTTTTAAGGAGAATATTACATTCAGATATATAATTTATTACCGCTATTTGACATAGTTTTCCAGATGTATTGTGCCCAAAAAAAGGCTTAAATATGACTTAACTCTGCAGTAAAGAGTGGTACTGTCAATTCATTTAACTTCTCAGCAAGTTCTGCTTTTCTTTCAATACCAGTATCAGCCCCTTTGCCACTATAGCTGGTTTCTTATAGCTAACATGCTTTAATGTAGAGTTATGGTATCGCTATGATATATGGTATTTATTGATTGTTTCTTACTATTCATGAAATCTGTTTCTGAGGGTCACACGTAAGGAAATACTCTTGCTCTACTATCTATTCTCTTCTCTTTCCTGAAAACACTACAAGGTCCCTTCCAGCTCTATTCCTTTTCTCCCCTCCTTTCATTCTTATTCTCAACTAGTCCCATTTGGTTTGTGATTAATTTCTCTGACCACACTAATAATTTTTATGTCCTTGCATGTCTTCCTGTAAACATAAGCTGCAGATAGTTGCCTCACCTATCCGTTTGCCCTCTTCAATTTCATTGTCCACCACAAAGCTTCCTCTTTGCTGCCTTTCATAGAATTGTTTTTTTATTGCTTCAACAGTAACTAATTATGACACAAGACTGGAAAGTCTTACCTGATGATTTTTTGTTGTTCATGGGTAACGTCTCTTTCAATCTTAAGTCAAGGAACTGATGTCTAGACACGTTTTTTTTATTTGCTATTTGAAGAATACCACAGTAAAACATTTATGTAGTATTAAGACATAGAGACAGGCACAGACACACACATACAGAGTACATATATGTTATCATTCTATATGTAAACTATGTCAAGGGCTGTGGAAATGCTGCTCTAGTGAACATCTGTTGCTGATAGGGCTTAAGCCTAGAGCTTTCAGCCACAGTGCTTGAATTGCCTCTGGTTTTGCTCACAGAGTGGGAGTACTCAGAAAGATGGATTGATGGAGACATAAACGTTAGGAAAATTAATCAGGTAAGAACATTTCTGCATTCAAAGGTTTGCTTACATCTGGAAAGCATTTGTCTTTTTAACTTTTAGTCTTTCTTACAAATGTGGACAGGGTGACAGGCTGATTCCTGGCTAGTAGTAGGTGGGTATTGTTTTCTCAAAAGACTAGTAGGGCAGGTTCAATTTTAAATTATTTGAGTAGATAGAATCTCCTAGATTTCAGTTCCCCAATGCCTTCAGAACATTTAGGCAAATTGATGCTAAGCTATGGCTTTGTACTGTATATTTTCATAGTAATCCCATCAAGTTTACCTCTGGCATGTTTCCCCTTTTCCCTGCCCTCACCCCAACCATGGAGAATTTAACAGAATGTACAGAAAATCTTATTTTGAGGAATTAGAAAATGGAATATAAAGACTATAGGTTTCAATCTCCATTATACTAATCCAAATTGTGGTCATAATCGTTACAGTATTGACTTATGAGATTTACTTGGTAACTTAGGTTATACCCAAGTCATCTGCAGCAACTCAAACAATCCAAGTCCATATAACAAATACAGAACTCTGCATATCGAAACACTTTGCCCGGAAATAATAGCTTAATGTAAGCAGAATTGTTCCTGTGTTCCTCTGTACAGTTATAAGCACAACTATGATTTTAACTTTGGGTCTACGTATTCTTTTTGATCCATCCAACAACTTGGCTGAGATAGAAGTGTTGCGTTCTTGGTTTATTATTGCACCACAAATCAGCAAACATAGTTTGGAGCAAGCCAAGTCTTTGGGATTCAAACAGACATTATCATAAGACTTATTGCATATCAGGAATAGAAGTTTCTAAACTCCTATAGTGGAATGTGGGAAAGATTTTTGGAGAAGGGTGAAAAGATGCTGCCTAGAACAGGGCTTTTCAACCATTTTCACCCATTGTACCACTTTTAGGATATGGCAATATCCGAGTACCACCAGTCGCCTAGCAAGGTGTCAAAAATTTGATGACCAAAAAAAAAAAAAAAAGGAAAAAAGTGATAAAGTACAGGTAGTCCTCGACTTACAACAGTTCGCTTAATGACTTTTTGAAGTTACAATGGCACTGAAAAAAGTGCCCCCAAAGCCACAGCCGAGCAAGACACCTGCCTGCCCGCCCGAGTGCGCTCTTCCTCCTGTCCGAGGTTTTTATTGTGAGCATTTCTGTTGAGGATTGGCAGCGGGGGTGGGGGGTGTTTGGTTTTTATTCCCCCCGTCTGCTGGGTGGCTGCAGCAGTTTTTGGTCACTTCACATGACCCTGGGACACTGTGACTGTCATAAATATGAATCAGTTGCCAAGCATCTGAATGTAAATCACAAGACCCTGGAGATGCTGCAACATTCCAGCTGATTGGCGCTTCTTCTGGGCTCAGCAGAAGCGCCAGGATCAGCGCCGAGCTTCAGCTGGAGCCTGGAGCTGATCCTGGCGCTTCCACTGAGCCCTGACAGCCCCGAAGAAGCGCTGATCCTGGCACTTCCGCTGAGCCCTGACAGCCCTGCAGCTCCAGCCGTCTCTCGCTCAGGCTTGTGCGGTGCTGCCACCGGTTCAGCTCATTCCCCTCCGCCGCTACCACTTTTCAAGGATGGTCGCGTACCACCTGCCAGGTGCCAATGTACCACAGGTGGTACCCGTACCACTGGTTGAAAAGCCCTGGCCTAGAAAACAGTCAGATAAGAGAGGGCATAGTCCACATCTAGATAGTGGGCGGAGCAAAAGACTTGGAAGGAATCCTCCTTAGTTTCTTGAGCTGTAAAGGAGATGGCAGGAGATTTTACTTTCAGACTTGAAAGATTCGATTAATGTAGCTTTACCATAAAGTAGAATAGGCTTAGCTGGCTGTGTTTCCTGTCTGGCCTATCTGGTAAAGCTGACATCTCCTTTCCTCAAAAAGAAAAGAGGAAATTAAGTGAAATATGCATGAATGTTGGACTGTGAGGAGTCCTGGTGGCACAATGGTTAAAGTGCAGTATTTCAGGCTAACTCTGCCCACAGCCTGGAGTTTGATCCTAACGAGGCTCGAGGTTGACTCAGCCTTCCATCTTTCTGAAGTTGATAAAATGAGGGCCCAGGCTGTTGGGGGAATTATGCAAATAATGCTGACATTGTAAACTGCCTAGAGCAGGGATCCCCAACCCCAGGGCTGCAACTCACTACCAAGCCATGGCCTGTTTGAAACCCTACATAGCGAAAAAGAATAAAGAAAAAAAAAACAACAGTTAAAGCTAAAGGAAGAATTTATGAAATTAGAATCAGAACTACAAATAGATCCACAAAAGAAAACGCTTAAAAAACAAATGGAACTAATAAAACATAAAATAAATCTAGCAGAGGCCGAAAAAATTGGCGGAACAAATCAAAAGGGCCAAACAGAATTTTTTTTTGAAAATGCTAATAAACCGGGGAGGTGGTTAGCATACAAACCGAAAAAAGAAACTTGATAAATGAACTGCAAGGCTCAAAAGGAGATTTACAGTTAAAGAAATGATATAATTAAAAAAATAATTAAAGACTTTTATGAGACACTTTACGATACAGAGGAAACTTCTCAAGAAAAAATAAAGCACTATATTAAAAAAGCAGATTTACCAAAAATCCCAGAGAATATACAAAACATTTTAAATGAAAAAATTATCAATGATGGAGATGACAGAGGCTATAAAAAGACAAAAAGAAATGATAAGACTCCAGGTCCCGACGGATTACCACAGAGTTTTATAAATGTCTACAAGACACTCTAAGTCCAATAATGAAATAACTATGTGATGAAGTACTTTTAGAGGCTAAAATGCCAAATACATGGACAAAGATGATTAGGAGACTGGAGGCTAAAACATATAAAGAACGGCTGCTGGAATTGGGTATGTCTAGTCTCTAATGAAGAGAAGGACGAGGGGGGACATGATAGCAGTGTTCCAATATCTCAGGGGCTGCCACAAAGAAGAGGGAGTCAAGCTATTCTCCAAGGCGCCTGAAGGCAGGACAAGAAGTAATGGATGGAAACTAACCAAAGAGAGAAGCAACCTAAAACTAAGGAGAAACCTCCTGACAGAACAATTAACCAGTGGAACAACCTGCCTCCAGAAGCGGTGAATGCTCCAACACTGGAAGTCTTTAAGAAGAGACTGGACAGCCATTTGTCCGAAATGGTATAGGGTTTCCTGCCTAAGCAGGGGGTTGGACTCGATGACCTCCAAGGTCCCTTCCAACTTTATTATTATTATTATTATTATTATTATTATTATTATTATTATTATTATTATTATTATTATTATTATTATTATTAAAGCTAACATCACTTTAATACCCAAAGAAACAGGGCTGTGCGAGTGATGGGCAAGCACGCATGTACGTGCGAAGCTCCACTCCCGCAAACGGAGGGCACTTGAGCAGAGGGTGCTTGTGCTCGCATATGAAGCTCCATTCTATATAATATAATCATAATTTTATAATAATAATATCAGGAGTGTAGGCTTGATTGGGAAACTGGAAAAAAACACCCTAAAAAAAGTTTATACAGAAGATGAAGAGGCAGTTGCCTGTTATGATTGATAAACTGATCCTGCCTTCTTAGTCAATGTGCGAGGGATAATTTAATAGCAGAATAATCTCTTGTCATATAATGAAACAGACATTCATGGAGAAATCAGTATCCCTAATTTGGGGTGAAAAAATATTAAACACCCTTATTCTTTTACCAGGTTACTGATGTGTGATGTGTGATCTGTATCCACATATGTATATACGTATCTTGCAGGAAGTTGCTAACAAGATTACTAATCCCTTATTACATGGAAGAATTGGGGTAATACATGTGTCAAAGCTGTATAATAAAATTAAGCGCTTGAGATGTAATTGTATCACATCTGAAAAGGCAATTAAATGTTCTCACAAGTGTTGTATTTGCCATAATTATTTGCCTGTGTATTTTATGTCCCTGTTACAGGTGAGTGAGGTTTCTCCAACTCCGTCAAAAAGTATTCAAATGGAAAAAGAGGCCCGTGTGCATCATTGTTTTGAGTGTAGTCAAACGTTTGCTTCGATCACCATGCTAATGCAGCACAGTAAGGAAGTTCATGGAAAAGAAAGAATCCACGTCTGTCATATTTGCAATAAAGCCTTCAAACGAGCCACGCATCTTAAGGTACGAGACGAAATTAAGCAGTTTTAATAAAAATTTTAAAAGCCAGCTGGGTGGACTTTGGGCTGATCACTGTCTCAGCTCACAATACCAGGCTTGGGTGACAAGCTGGTTGGACAGTTCCTGTTGCAGCCAATACTGGATTGATCCGAGGGTGGTGGTGGGAAGGACCTTGCACTTGCAGGAAAATGCCATGAAGGAAAAAAATAATGGGAACCTGTGATCAGTCTTGTCTTGCCTCTGAAGTTTAGCAGTTGAGCCTGGTTATTAGTTGGATAGGAGACTTCCAAGTAACATCAGGGTATTTGGGAAAAGTAGGGACTTGAAGGCATCTCCCAGAAGAAGGAAAGAAGAAATGGCGACCTTATTGCTGTCAAGAAAACAACATGGACTTGTCAATGGGTGTTACCATGATTTGTAGTAACTTTACCATGGTAGAACTATAGAACAGGGCTTTTCAACCTTTTTCACCCATTGTACCACTTTTAGGATATGGCAATATCCGAGTACCACCAGTCACCTAGCAAGGTGTCAAAAATTTGATGACCCCCCCCAAAAGGAAAAAAGTGATAAAAGTACAGGTAGTCCTCGACTTACAACAGTTCGCTTAATGACTGTTTGAAGTTACAATGGCATTGAAAAAAGTGCCCCCCAAGCCACAGCCGAGCAAGACACCTGCCTGCCCCCCGGCAGCGCTCTTCCTCCTGTCCGAGGTTTTCATTGTGAGCATTTCTGTTGAGGATTGGCAGCGGGGGTGGGGTGGGGGGTGTTTGGTTTTTATTCCCCCCGTCTGCTGGGTGGCTGCAGCAGGTTTTGGTCACTTCACATGACCCTGGGACACTGTGACCGTCATAAATATGAATCAGTTGCCAAGCATCTGAATGTAAATCACAAGACCCTGGAGATGCTGCAACATTCCAGCTGATCGGCGCTTCTTCTGGGCTCAGCAGAAGTGCCAGGATCAGTGCCGAGCTTCAGCTGGAGCCTGGAGCTGATCCTGGCGCTTCCACTGAGCCCTGACAGCCCCGAAGAAGTGCTGATCCTGGCGCTTCCGCTGAGCCCTGACAGCCCTGCAGCTCCAGCCGTCTCTCGCTCAGGCTTGTGCGTTGCTGCCACCGGTTCAGCTCATTCCCCTCCCCCGCTACCACTTTTCTAGGATGGTCGCATACCACCTGCCAGGTGCCAATGTACCACAGGTGGTACCCGTACCACTGGTTGAAAAGCCTTGCTATAGAAAACCTAAGGAGAAGTTTTGCAACATTTTCTATACAACAGAACAAAATAATTCAACAATATCTGGGATCAGCTTCCAAAGCATCACATTTGCGTCTGTTTGAACAATTTAAAAATAAGCTCTTTGCATATCACCCTGCCATGCATAGTGCAGAACACCTTTTTTAAAGGTTTTGCACAACCCTGACACTTAATTCAATTTTGCACTGCCTTCAGGATTCCAGATTTGTTTGATCTTATTGTTGGAATATCCATGCTTCCATTTTTCGCATTTATTCAAATGGAGGGCTGTACTATCAATTCTTCAGCTCTGTACTTCCATGGTAACTATTAATTGGAGCGAAGCACTTTTTCTAGCAAATGAGCAAACTTCCTTCCAGGTGCTCATTTTTTACAGAAAGGATTTTGTTCCTCTTGGCAGTACAGGCAATGCAATTCCATGGCCCTTCATTGATTTTCCTAACCTCTGTGTTTTAGTATTTCATTAAAACCTTGAAAAAGATTTTATGAAGACAAAGTGTTCAAAAGTGTTAGCCCAGTTGCTTGTGTGTTCTTGCTTTGCTATTTTATTTAATGTTGCAATCATAAATATCGTTATATTTTATTTTATTATGTTACCTTAAACATTATTTTAAGTACGAATTAGCAGGACATTCCACTTGTTATCCAGAATGCTAAATCTTAGTTTGAAGAGAAAAAGAAATATTTCATTCTGAATCATAGTTTGCTTGAATAAAAATTAGAAACTGTTATGTTTGAATGTAAATGAATAAGCAGTTCTTTATACATCTGGAATCTAGGCACATGTGGTGCTTATCTTTCTAATATATATAGAAATTATAAATAGCAGAATAACAGAGTTGGAAGGGACTAGTCTTCTAGCCCAACCCCCTGCTCAAGCAGGAAACCTTATACCAGTGATGGCGAACCTTTTAGAGACTGAGTGCCCAAACTGCAACCCAAAACCCACTTATGCATCGTCGAGTGCCGGGTGGGTGTGGCCCATTGGGTGGGTGTTGCCCATTGGGTGGGCGTGGCTGCGGTGGTAACGGCAGACTGGGTGGGACTAAAAAGTTCAATCAATCAATTCCAACTTTGCAAGATCTTTTTTTTCCCCGCGAGAAGTTGAAATTGACTGATTGAACCTTTTTTTTTTTGCACACGGCGGCGGAGGCCTAAACCAAAAAGGTTTTATAAAACCCAGCTGAAGACCTAGGACTGGGGTGACAGTGCGCGTGCCCACAGAGAGGGCTCTGAGTGCCGCTTCTGGCACCCGTGCCATAGGTTCACCACCACTGCCTTATACCATTTCAGACAGGTTGTCCAATCTTTTCTTAAAAACCTCCAGTCTTAGAGCACTCACAGCTTCTGAAGGCAAGCCATTCTACTGATTAATATTTCCTTAGATTGGTTCTCTCCTTGATTACTTTCCATCTGTTGCTTCTTGTCCTGCCTTCAGTTTTTTGCAGAATAGGTTGACCCCCTCTTCTTCGTGGAAGCCCCTTAGATTTGGAACATTGCTATTATGTCAACCCTAGTCCTTCTTTTAATTAAACTAGACATACATAGCAGTCTGTCTGTCTTTGAAGTGTGGCATTCCACGAGCCATTGCACATTTATTGTCCTTTCGCTCTGAGTTATGTAACATCCCTGGGCCAGATCTGCAAAATGAATAGAGGGTTGTAGAAACTGGAACCACATTAACACGCCTCCAAATATATTTCTGTTATTAAAAAAAATGTGCCAAATGAAATGTATTTTGTCTTTGATTAGGAGCATATGCAAACGCATCAGGATGGACCATCACTGAGTTCCCAAAAGCCAAGAGTATTTAAATGTGATACTTGTGAAAAAGCCTTTGCTAAACCAAGTCAATTGGAAAGACATAGTCGCATCCATACAGGTAACTAAACAGTACTGAGTGATACCCATTGCAGTATTTGAGGTTAGATTCTAACCATTCTGCTAATTATATCTAAATCACCAATGGCAAAGAAGCCTCTTTTTTTTAATACCATGCATTTTTGAGGCTATTAATATTGAGAAAACTCACCCTGATTGCAATTCATGACTTGTAGACATAACATATTAGACAAAGTATCTAAGGCAGTGGTTCTCAACCTTTTTAATGCCGCGACCCCAACCGGTCGTAAGTCGAGGACTAAACCGGTCGTACGTCGAGGACTAAACCGGTCGTAAGTCAAGGACTAAACCGGTTGTAAGTCGAGGACTACCCAACCGGTCGTAAGTCGAGGACTTTCCCTGCCTGGGAGCGCCGCGCATGCGTGGTTCCGCCCCCTGTGCCGGCCGAGGCATAGCTGGCAAGCGGCAGAGACGGAGCAGGCCGACCACCAGCTGGCCCAGCCCAAGGGAGGTAAGGCACCCGCGGGAAAAGGGGAAAAAAATGGCGGACAAAAAAAATGGCAGACAAAAAAAATGGCGGACAGCCTTGCTTGGCGACCCCCATGAAATGGTCGATCGACCCCAAATGGGGTCCCGACCCACAGGTTGAGAACCACTGACTTAAGGTATCTACTTGCACTGCTGTCCTCTTCATGAAAGACAGTTCTCATCTGTAGGTGCTGCCCTTCAAGATAGAAGGGTCCAGAAGGGTGGAACCAATTCTGACGAGCTGCAGAACCTCTCTTATTTAATTGGATTTTCTCCTCCATATTCTATGTATCCTGCTTTGATGGCTTCCCATTTTCTCTGCAGTGGTAGAGGATATAACATAAACATTGTACATATGTAGAGGATATAACATAAACACTGCACATATGGATATTTGTCTGTCTGACATTATTTCTATTGTAACTGCAGTATGCTCAAATCAGATACATTATTTGAAAACAAATGGAGAAAATGCCATGTTGCCTGGGGAGTATGTGTAGTGAAAGAGAAATAAGAGTCTTCAGCCACTTTGTGATATTTGGGGAGGGTCATATTTCTAGGCTAACTTTCAAGTAGAATTGCTGCATCCCCTCAATATGTTAGCATAGGTGACCCTTAAGGAATTTATTAAAGTGACTTTTGTTTGAATAATATGATGGTTATTTTGCACGAATATAGGCTAAGAAAATCAGCTTGCCATTTTATTGTCCCATAGCAACTTCCAGCATACTGTTGGAACATTTGTGACCAAAAGCCCTAAGCCCATGTGGCTTGTAATGGGCTAGAATTCAGGGGTAGGCAACCTTGGCTCTTTTATGACTCGTGGACTTCAACTCCCAGAATTCCTGAGCCAGCCATGGCTGGCTCAGGAATTCTGGGAGTTGAAGTCCACGAGTCATAAAAGAGCCAAGGTTGCCTACCCCTGGGCTAGATGATTGCTTAGTTCACATGAAGTGAGAAAGATACTTTTCAGGTCACGTTTGAGGGAATGGGAAGTTTAAGGAATCTTTGTTGCTATTTACCTTTGTGTCAATTCATCTGTTCTTGTTTCTCTGCTTCTTCACCAAAGGTGAGCGGCCCTTTCAGTGTACCTTGTGTGAGAAAGCTTTTAACCAGAAGAGTGCACTGCAAGTTCACATGAAAAAACATACAGGAGAAAGGCCGTACAAATGCGATTACTGTACAATGGGCTTCACCCAGAAAAGCAACATGAAGCTTCATATGAAACGGGCTCATGGCTATTCTGGTAATGTGATATTTGCTATGAGAAAGTTTGACATATCTCTTTATTTTATAGCATTATACTGAAGAGACTCAACATTTCTAATTTTCTTGGATTGTACCAAGCACTATAAGAACTGGGCTTTGTGCTCTGGCTCTTAATTTTTAGAATAATGCATGGTAGGGGGTATTAATGTAATTCAGTTGCTTATTGAGCAGAAATGTTTTCAGTTGTGCAGTACAGTTATATTCCAGGCCAGTTATACCCGTGGCATAGTTGTTGAGAAGTATTGAGGAATCCTACTTCATATGGTGGTTGCTTTAAAGCTGGAAGGAGGAGCCATCATGTACTCTACGCCAAGTTTGAAGACCCCTGATCTAACTAATACATAAATTAATTATTTCAGTCCTGTATTTGAATTTGAAAAAGCATTTTGGAACACTCTTAAGTTTTCCCATTTTGTGCCTGAAAAAATAAAATGTAAGGCAAAAATGCGAGCCCCAAGAATGAAAATAGGGTGTGATGCATTAGCCATGTCTCCCAGCCAAATTGTCACATATTCAGACTTTTGCGTTGCAATGCAAAGAAATATTTAGGTGCCAAATTCTGCTTGCTTTGGAGAAAACAAGTAGATGAATTTAAATGTTATTTTAATTTTTTATAAGATAGTTCTTTCATAGGAGATAGAAGGAGAAGCTATTGGATTGGGTTGACATGAAGGGGGAAGCCTTAAAAAACACGAAACAGAACTGTAAGAATTGGAATGGAGGTCTGGAAAAATGACTGACAGTTTAAAATGGAGTCAACAGTAGTGGCAGTGATTGCAGTGGTAAAGACAGTTATGAGGCATAGTCTGAAAACCAGAAGAGGATGAAGAGCATTGAGGGACAATAACTAACTAGTCCATAAGGCAGAATAAGGTCCCAGGAGATAATAGAAGAAGAGAAGATCAAAGCCATCCAGATTAAAGGCACTTGCAGAGCATCTGAGAGAGACTGGGAGAAATATGGTCATCAATCTCTATAAATCCTGCTTTAACTCTTGAATGAAGGCAAAGGTAGGTTTGAAAATACAGTGGCACATACAATATGGGTTTAAAGTTGTAATATATTCTATATTTTTTAGAGTAAAATCTTGAGTTTGGAAAAATGTTCTTGGTACATTTTAATAACAAACGGCAATACTGGCTTATCATCTAAGGCTAGGAGTGAGAAAATATTCAAAATTATATACAATTAACTATGCTTGAGGCTGAGAAAACAAAAGTAGTTTGTTAATCCCTTTATCCCATTCACACATTTATAAGGACATTTATTTGCTAGTAAACTGNAGTAAACTGATTGTTGTTGCTATTTAAATAAATGTTCAGGGTGTGGGATCCTTGTCTGTCCCATATGCCAGAGTTAAGGGATATCTACCAAGTAGATATACCAAGGCAGGAAGGTACATCATTAAACTGTGCCAAGAACATTTTTCTAAACTCAAGATTTTACTCTAAAGATTATAGAACTTTAAACCAGGGGTCTCCACTACCAGGCCACGTGAAGGGATGGCCACTGCACGCGCACATGTGCGTGCATTCACCCCCCACTTGTGCTGTGGCAAGCATACCGCCAGCGCTAGCGCCACCCTGCCCCGAACGTCCCACCTGCGCTAGCACCACCCTGCCCCAAGCGTCCCACCGGTGCTAGCGTCGCCCCACCCCTGAGCGTCCTGCCAGCGCTAGCGTCACCCTGCCCCCTGAGCATCCCGCTGGCACTAGCATCGCCCCACCCCTGAGCAGGGCAGTACATGAAACCAAACTCCCTCTGGTCCGCAGAAAAAAATGCTCTCCACGGAACCGGTCCCTGGTGCTGAAAAGGTTGGGGACCTCTGCTTTAAACCCATATTGTATGTGCTATTCTATTTTCAAACCTACAGTACCTCTGTCTTCATTCAAGAGTTAAGCAAGGGTTTATAGAGACTGATGACAAAATTTCTCCCTGACATTTTCAGATGCTCTGCAAGTGGCCTTTTTTAGGAAGGATTTGATCTTCTCACCTTCTATAATCTTGTGGGAACCTATTGGCCTTCTGGACTAGTAAATTATTATCGCTCAATGTTTTTTGTTCTTTTTTGATCTTAAGGCTATATCTAACAACTGTCTTTAGCATTGCAATTACTACCCAATCCAACTCAAATTTACCAGACCACATTGTACTTATTACAATAAAATGATTTCTACAGCAGTTTAAAATGGAGTTGAAAATAGTGGCTTTTTGATCAATACGTGTATTGGCTATTAGAGATGAAGATGTGAGGCAATCTATTTGCTTTGCTTATATATGATAGATTCTGGAGCAAGTCTTGCTTTCCCATTTATTCGGGGATCTCTAGGAAGGCCAAGAGTTAATTATCAGGAAAGCATCACTGAGTCAATAAGATGAAATCACAAACTCCCAAACCTGCATGCATCATCTTTTATATAAATATGATGCATGCAAGTTTAATTTATAAATTATTCGTCTTCAAAGGAGAATAAGTCTGCTTTTCCTTTTGTATAAGTCCTATTATAGGAGTCCTTGGTTAACAACTGTTCATTCAGTGACCTTTTGAAATTATGATGGTGCTAAAGGAGTGGTATTTACCACTGGTTCTCAAAGGTTTGGCTGTCCCAGCACCCCTGCCGTCACGTGATGCTTGGCAATTGTTTCATACTTTTGATAGGTGTGGCATCCTGTGGTCATATGAATATCATTTGGAACCTTCCCTGCCAGCTCACAAGCAAAGTAAATGGGGATGCCAGCAGGGAAGGTTGCTAGTTGTTCCCACCAATTTTCTCCCGAACATCTTTGCTACGGAGTACCGAATCCCAGGGATTTCATGTTAGCACCCTTCCCTTGCCAGCCTGTCCATCCACATCCTCCCTGGCTTGCATGCACTTGCCTCTCACCACAACACCCCCTCCCCAGCCCACACGGACTCACACCCTCACCACAGCACCCTCTCCCCATTTGGGGAGCACTCACTGGAGCACCCCACCCCTCTTCCATAGTACTAGCCCTCCTGCCTGCCTGCTTGTGAGCCGTAGGGGACTTGAGATTTCTCACTGGCTTTCCCTTGACTTTTTGAGAAGTCTGCAGGAAGTCGCAAGTTGTGGCCATATGAGGTCCTTGCCTAATACCCATGATGCTCACTTAATGGCATCAGTAAGAACTTACAGGCTTGCCAATGCTTAATGCTATGGTCATGTGATACCACTTTATGACTACACCATTAGCAATGGGAATTCCAATCCCAATTACTGTGGTTAAGCGAGGACTACCTGTAATGAACAAGAAGGCCCTTTTCTTTTCTAGAGAGTATGTTGACATGAAGTAAAACACTGCATATTTAATTGATGTCACAATAATGTTAAAAACCCAGTGGCTATACTTTAGAAACTTGATTATATTGTAAGTAGACCTATGATTTGCAATACATCTGGTTTGCTAAAAGAAAAGCAGCCATTCTTCTCTGGTATACCTCTAAGAGACATAACAAATAAAAAAATATATTCGGTCTTTTTTCTTTCTATTTGTGAAATTTCTTTGGATTTGTATTCATCGTGCAATTTTGATGGCTATATTGTGAATGAATACAGCTGCAGAAACTGCATTAAATGACGAGGTTGGAAAGTAGAATGTATGGATGACAACTTCTCTATGTTACTTTCTTAATCACAAAAAAGTATTTATGCATGTAGAGTTCCATTACCTTTGAGGACTGACACATAAATTTTAATAGACATAAATTAAATATTGATTTTTCTGAACAAACTACTCTGTTAAAAGAAACGGACATACCACAGACTTGAACCGCATGTAGTGCTCTGTGTCAAAATGATAGCAGTAAAGAAAAGTGATGAGCACCCCTTTGAAAATGAATATCCTTTAAATTAAAATTATGATAGGTATTTACTCAAAACAAACCTCACTAATTTCCCTTACTCCCAGGCTCTTATTCTTATATTTCCTTTTTTCAGACCCTCCCCTTTGCAAATCATTGCTGTGTAGTCAGTAAAATATCTTTCAGATTTAATTTTCTGCTGTTTGCCTGAAGGCTTTATGCCATCTCTCTTACTCTTCTTTATCTTTTTATTATGATAGGTGCAGTGCAAGAATCAACCAGTCATCAAGGACAGGAAGGCGAAGACATTAATCGTGCTCTGAATTTGGAAGAAGTTGTTCAAGAATCTTCAAATGAGTGGCAGAGTATAACCAATATTTTTTGATGACTATAAGATGAAAGCTCCAAATGCTTTCAGGACTAGAATTTTTTTTTTCTTCTAAAAATAGTCATCTGTGGATTTTTACTATTAAAGCATATTGCAAATAATAAGGATGATATAGCTTTTTAAATATGATGAAACACCTAAATGAATTTCTGTCTTTTGTAAGCATATAGAATATTTGAGAAACATCCGATAAACTTTGCTGTATTGTCTACAATCAGTGATCTCAGGTAGATGGAACTTGTTTATCTTTTTTCATTCCACCATAAGTGTATTCTCTAAAACAGAAATACACCCAGACCTTGAAATCAGTGAAGAGTGAATCTGAAATAGGCCTTCAGGATGTTCTGTCAATCATGAGGATGTCTTGAGTATTTAAAACAAATAAAATCTTATGGGTGCCGTAGACAGCGCAGATAGTACATGATCTAAGGCTGTTTTAGACCATTAATTGGTGTTGCAGATATGTCAGGATGATAGCGCGTATTCATTTTGTTTGATGACTGTTATTATTTCTCAGCTTTAAACTCAGCAATAATTCAAATGAACACTTAACAACTGAGATTCCATGAGGTAAATGATAAACACATATATTTTCATATAGATCTTTCAGCAGAAAAACCTTTTGCTGAATAACCATAAAAATATAAGCCATATATTCAAGACGGTAGGACTTATAAGACTATATATTCCCTTAAGAAGACCAAATCAGCTGCAGGTTACGTTACAGCACAGTCATTCTGAAAGATAGCTCCAGATTAGAAGTTCTTGTTACTATTGTCATCAATTTGTCTTGACAGTTATAAAATGTTTAAAGACTACCTAGGCTTTTTCAGTATTACTCTGAAAGGTCCCATTTATTTGGAAGAGGTATAATCATATCAAAACACCCACATTGGAACAAAGCGTATGTTCTGTTTTAGTCATTCCAAAGACAGAAAGATCTTGCTTAATTTTACTTAGAAATTTTAAAATTTCTTTATATGTTATATATATGTGTGTGTGTATATATACAGATATTTAAGCCTCTGTGTGGCTGATGAGTATATTTTGTAAATAATAATTCCAGTTTCAAGAAGTGTTTATAAAGTTTTCAACTTTAGATGAACATTTCAAAATCAGTATTGATTCATTTTAATGTAATGTAGACATGTTATATCTTTATGAAAATATTATTGCTTTTAATTTGTTTCTCGGTTCCAGAAAAAAAAAACTATCTGTACATATAATTTATATTTTGTGTATTATAAGACTAGTACTTTCTATTTTCCAAAAAAAGGAAAAAAAATCACTGCTTTTGATAGGACATCTCATAATTTTTTTGTTAACTCTGGACATATGTATATAAGTAATATAGCTGGTGACTTGAAAATAACACTTTTGTTATGTGGAAATATTTAAGTCAAACATGTTGAATAATATTAATTTTTTTCCAAACATGGTTTTCTGTCTGATATGTTATTCCTTTTCAGGGGTATGAAGTAGGTATTCTTATTGATGGGAATAATTAGTATGCCTGAACTGATGCATGGCAGATATTTCAGGCTATTCTGCTATCTTCGCCTTGAATATTTTTTCCATTTCAAAGAGTTTTTTCTACCAGCTTTATTGAAAGTGTTTTGCTTGTTTGCAAATAATTTTTGTGCTCATTGATATCTTTATGTGATTGGAAGAACATAATATCTTTAAGAAAAGAAGAAACAGCATTATGTATACTGTGCATCTACACAATCTGTTGCACATCACCAAAGGCACACAAATTCACATATTTCCATATTTATTTTTTAACTACAACGTACGAAGTTAGCTCCATTTGCTATTCTTTTCTGTGGCCTGTTTGAAGTCCTAAGTAAAAGATATGTAGAAATATTATGGAGATTAAGGAAACTGATCTTAAATGTACAATTAATAATAATCTAGTCTAAACCATCAAGTCTACTAATATATTAAATGCATATGCCGCCAACTCCCAGTGACTCAGGGCATATATTATAAATGGCAAACCAGTGGACCAAATCTACCCTGTCTCGATTATGGAACTTAACTAAAAGACACTTACACCTCTCAATATTTTATTGTCCTCAAAAATCACCTCTAGTTAAGCTGCAAGACAGACTATAATTGTTGAGATGGTTATTTTGAACAGGAAGTAGTTTGAGTCACCATTTTGCACTGAATTACTAAATCAAAATCTTAATGAGAAGTCTACCTTGTTCTTGACAAGAAGGCAAGAATATATTCATTCAGGCAAACAATACTGAGACTGACAAATAATTCAGAAGATCAGCTGTTGCCACAATTATGTATGGCTTATTGTCACTTGTTTTTCTTTGTTTTGCATACCAAGAGTACCCAGCTGAAAACCTTTAGCACTTAAGAACATAAACAATGCTCTGCTCTATTGAGCCCCTCATCAATTAGCTCAGAAATCTGTTCTCACAATGGCTAACCAAACAACACAAGGACGCCCACAGCTCTCCCAGGAGATGGCCTTCAGAAGCTGTCACACTGCCATCAAAGCTAAGGGTCATTGATTCCCATGTCTTCTGTGAATTGTCCAACCCTTTTCTTGAAGCCAGCCCAACTGGTAGCCAGGCCCAATTCTTATACAAGCAGATTCTAAAGTGTAATTATGTATTGTGTAACAAAAAAAATGCTGAACAAGCTTGCCTTTAGGGCTTTATGAGCAATCCTAGGATAGTGAGCTTTGGGACAATTGGGAAAGCAGTGTGGGAGAAGGGTTCTCTAAGCTTTTCTCCTGAAATATGAGCTTTATAAGAGAAGGCTGAGACGAACTCTTGACACAGACAGAGGTGAAGAAAAATGATAATTTCATTTCTAAAAATGAAAAGCCGTGTTTCACTATGACAGAGGTCTCCAAACTTGGCAACTTTAAGACTTGTGGACTTTAGTTCCCAGAATTCCCAGAATGCTGGCTGGGGAATTCTGGGAGTTGAAGTCCACAAGTCTTAAAAAGTTGCCAAGTTTGGAGACCCCTGCCCTATAAAGCTATTTTAAGGGGGGGGGGTCTGTTTATGCCATTCTTTCAAATCTTCATGTCTTTTTATAGTATTGTCCTATAAATCATATAATATATTCTTTTTCTAAGCCGCCTAGAGTTGTGTTGTTCAGTTTGAACAGCCATATATACTCTTTAAATGTTTATGTGAAGGTTAGATACTGCATCTCTGGAAAATGACAGAAAGTTGTAAAAGAAGATACTGTATAGAGCTCCGGTATTTTTTAATCTAATTTTAAATGTATCTACCTCAGAATTATATGAATTTCACAGGAGACTATTTCACAATTAGAGAGAGGGTCCAGTGTCATGCTGGATTATATTTTCTCTCAAACAGAATCAATAACTCATTAAATAAATATTAGATTTAGAGAATGTAAAAGTAAACTTCTCTCAGAAACTCTTTCAGATGAAAGGAATGCTCATTTTCCTTTTATCACATTGTAGTTTAGGTCGATGAAGGAAGCGTGCCTAAACTCATACAGATACTGGTCTATGATTTGATTATACATATATTATCCTCTTGCTTGTCTAATTTTTCATATTCTTTTGTTAGCCTGATTAATTTGCAGCTAATTTATATTTTAGGAAAAAGAAAGGAAAATATTACTTGCCTCGGGGAATGATTTAAGATGAATACCATGCATTTATGAACCTAGGAAACACAAGTCTCGGGGGAAATTTGATAGTATCTACAAAAACTCTAAATACGTCTAATCAGCCAGAGGCTTTGTTGCATTAAGATATTATTTGAATGTAAAATAATTGCTCTCTTCTATTATGTTCTATGCAGATTTCTTGGCAAGTTAGGTTAGACTGAGCTCATTGTCAGTCAATGTAACTTTTTCCATCTATAAATGTTTTGGGAATTGTTGAAGAAAATATCAGGCATTTTCCCACAGTATTAAGCTGTAGGATCTTGCAATTTTTTTTTACATTTTCCCAATAGTTAAAATTGCTAAATTTTAGGATAACAGAATATGGGATAATTTTTTCCTTGTTTTTGAAAATCACTATACCATTATCATTCATTGGACAATTCCACATTATACCTCTGGTTAGAAAGAATGTGTATGTTGAAGTCATACTGGACAAATGTTTTTGATTTAATATTCAGCAGAGTTTTTGAGCTTTAATTATAGAATGATCAATTATACATGGTATCAATTTTGATTGTATCATGCAAGTCCCTTGTTTTGTTTTGCATTTTCATTTCACCAGTCCTGAAAAGCAAGTAGGTTTCTCCCCCCCCCTAATGTTCTGTCTCTGAAATGCTTTTGTCACCCTGTTCTATGCAAACCACATTTTTCCTGTGCTTCAAGCATCCCAGGCCAGAAATACAATGGATCATCTAATGGCTTTTTGGGCTTTTAAAGTTATAATCCTGTGCTCAAAACTGAGAGATAACATTATACTTTGACCAGATTTTGAGCATAAAGCAAGAATCATCAAGAATCCCAAAGAGCTTTCATTTGTGTAAGGAGAGACACTTGATCTCTACAGTCTCTTCCCACCCTTAGGATTAATTCCATTCATCCTTCCTTGTTTAGACAATAAAATATATTTTTTCTAGGTCCACAAACAATGGGTTGGAGAATAGAGGCAAGGATGCTCCACTGAACTTAATTCACTGTTCTTTAAACCCAACCAATCTATTTTCATCATCTGTTAGCAACATTTGCTTATGTTTAGCTGGTTAATTTTCTATCTAGAAGGCTATTCCATGTCATCATTGTGGTATATTGGCTGGTTGGATGATATCTTATGTCCCTTAACACTAGTTAGTTGGGAATATATTCTGATTTGCTTGCTCAATACATTTGCTCACAAATTTTAGACACCATTTTATATTTCTTCTACAAAGAAGGAGGAATCTTACATTTCTGACTATGAAAAGCCATCATGGTTCCATATTTGAATGCCCTTTAATTAATGTTGCATTGTGGACCAGTCCCTAGACTAATGTGTAGTTTAGTTAAAATTCATATTAAGAAAGTGTAGTCCTGCCAATATGGAAAATTAATGGGTTTCAGAAAACAAAATGTTTCATGTGCAAAAATAGGGACCCATAGAGAGGTAAAAAGTAGACAGAAGCAAAGATGAATAATGCATCTACTTGAAAAGTACAGACTTTGTTTCAGTGTTTTCTCGCTCATAGCAATAATGTGGAATTATTTGCATAGGATAGAAGACATGTTACTGAATTTATTCAGTGAATAATCCATTCACTATGGTAACTCTTGCCTGTTTAAGAGCGATGATATTCAAATGAAGTTGAATATCAGTTGCTGTTGTCACCATATAATGTACTCATCCGAGTTAGTCTATGTGAATTCAAAGTAATTGCTCCCCTAAACAGGATCCATTGTATTGTAAATATAATTATTTTAGGTAGGGTATTAAAAATGTTTTTGGATGGAATAATAGAGTCTTTTATTTCTTCCTAAAAATGTGTCTCATAGAATAAAGTACAATTTGCCCTAATGTATTGAATTTCTGGAATGGAAAGGTTTCTATGGGACACATTTTAAAAAAATTCATCAATTATGTAGTATTGCCATCTGAAGTATTGCACCCTTGTTTATTGCTTAAGAATAATCTTTCATTAAGTAGTGAAAGAAGACTTAGGACTCAGGAACTGTGTGCTGTTTCTGGAAATTAACAGTGGGAAGATAAACATTGAAGAGCTTTTTGTTATAGCAGTTCTGTAATGAGCATTGTTTTTGTGTTTGATCCATTGATATTCAAATTCTTAAAAAGAATACATTCATTGTTTCTCCCAAGGGCACTTAATTGCAAGGTGCAAATTTGAGGGAAGAAAATCAGTGATAAGGGATAAGCTTAAGATTTAGTTCAAGGTGTCTCAGATGCAAGAGAAGTCTGCAACTCTTCAATATAGCCCCCACCTTTCCCAAGAACACCAGAAGTGGTGTTAGGTTCACAAACCCTCATATTTAGTATCAGTTCTGAATATAGGTAGTTCTCAACTTTACAACCATTTGTTTAGTGATCGTTTGAAGTTACGGTGGCACTGAAAAGAAAATAATGTATGATGATCTTTCACACTTCCAACCGTTGCAGCATCCCATCCCCCCCCCGTCCACATGATGAAAATTCAGATGCTTGATAACTGACTCATGTTTGTGACCGTTGCAGTGTCCTGGGGGGGTCACGTGATCACCTTTTGTGACCTGCTAACAAGCAAAGTCAAAGGAGAAGCCAGATTCATTTAACAACGCCGTTACTAACTTAACAACTTCAGTGACTGACTTAACAACTGTGGCAAGTAAGGTCATAAAACAGGCAAAACTCATTTAACAGCTGTCTCATTTAGCAACAAATTTGGGGCTCAATTGTAGTCATACGTCCAGGGCTATCTGTACAATATAAAATATGCCTCCTT